CCAGTGAACGAGTACATTGCCCTGTGCTGCAATGAATAAAACTCTCAGCTTGCTTGGAATTTACTAAAGTTACCAAATACTGGAAGACATATACCATAGCTTATTCATTCTTTCCATACCAGAGGGGCCTCCCTCTGAGCAGAGCTTAGTCCATTTTCCATCTGGAAATATTCCCCTTTGAGAAGCCAGTGACCTGGTAGGGTGGTTGTTCTCCTTTTGGGGGAAAGAAAAGAAAATCCCCACAAATTCCAAGGACTTAGTGTCACTGATCACACTGTATTATCCAGAATCAAAGAGCCTAATCGCTATTTACACTAAAGTCTTTAGCGCTATTGAGGCAGAAAATTATAGTTTCTCCCACTCATATTTTTGCACTCATATATTGTCAAGAGCTTTAAGAAAGTGCCTTGGAGTTAATAAAGATGAGGTGTGCATTTCTTACAAGCACGTGTATGAAGGGCAGCAGAGAAGCCCAGGTTCAGGCCTTTCCTCCAGCAGAGTATGTGTTCACTGTCCAGACACCAAAATTAGTTCAGAAACAGTTGAGCTTTCCTAGAGTGGAAATCTACTGGGGCTAACTGATAATTGACCTTGTGGAGAGGATGAAACTCCTTCATATACAGGACAGAGTTTACTTACAGCTAGCTCAGATATCTCTCCAACATGCTATCCCCAAGGCAGGCTTGTACATTATACGGCACAAATTATACTGCATTATCCAGTCCAAACTCAGATGGGGCTTGCGAGAGCTAATGTGCTGTAAATATTAAGTCACAGAAAGTTCACACAGTCATCTGGCATATTCAGATAGGCAGTACATAATTAACAAGTTACAGGAGACTGAGAGCTGTAACTGAAAAAGCAGCTGCTGGGCAGCCTGTGCACAGGGCTGTGCTTAACACTCAGGAGTGTTAGGCCTGCTTGGAATTTGCAGAGGAAAACTGGAGCTAAAGAGGGCAACAATCATATGTTTTGTGCAGCACTTGGCTGCACTGCCACTGAAAGGAAAAACAGACTGGGGTTCATAAGTACTTTGCTGATCCTTCGCTTTGTTTTCCCTTACCTCACCCTAACACCTTTCAAATTACCTCATTAACATAAACAGCTCTCAGACTCTCAGTTTAGTATTCACAGCAGTTTTAGGGAGTGAGAGTCACACACAATGGTATCTGCAGCTGATTTACATTTATTTATCCAACCATGTTTTGAAGTCTCTTGGCCAAAATGAAAACAGCCACCCTCTCGAGAATGCAGTGCCAAAAGCACGCATACATGCAAGGCTGGCTGAAATTTTAATTGCGCAGAGGTCAGGAAGTTCAGGCTGAAGGTTCCCAGAGCAGCTCTAGCCCCTTTCCCCTGCGTGTATCACGTTGTACAATGGGGTCTTTCTTTACATAATCACACAGAATGGGCAATTCAGCCCAATGCTCAGCACGCAAAACCATCTCTTATGCTGCAGAGGACTTCCATCCCTCTGCTGTCATCTCAGGACCTCCTCTACCTCTTTCCACCCCTAGGAGTGCTAATCACATTCTGAAAACTCCTACAGAAGCAGTTATAAGAGCCTGCATGTCTACGTAAGGATGCAAATTGAACTACATGTCAGGTACATACATATCTGGAAGAACACTGCTGGACTCACTGATTAATGCACAGGTTTCATTTGAGGCACATGTTTAGACAGTGTCCAGGTGAGTTTCAGTGTGGAGGAGGAAACTGATTCCAAGTTCTTCAAATTGTTGCTGTGAAGTCAATGAACTTTAGTGATAGCAAAATGTAGTAAGCAGCTGTTTTAAGATGGATTTAATGAGTCCACGAGTGGTGTTATGAAAACAAGGGGATAATGACAGCAATAGATTAGATTTAGGGAGTCTGCAAATCTTACTCAGTCCCACAGTCCTCTTTTGCTCTACACTAATCAGGTGTATGCATCAGTGACTCGCTTCTATATTAGCCGTTCAGGTGTACTGCCATCTCCCAGCAATTCTGGATCAGCTGCCAAATTTCTATAGATTTCAAAAGCTCTTAAAAAATATTTGAGTAATTTTATGTGGGCTACTAACCAAAGCAAGCCTCTGCCTCAAGTGAGAGCTTCAGTGGGTCTTACTCCTTCACCTGGTATGCATGGAATGCACAGGACACTTACATGAAGAGCTGGGTATGGAAAATATTCTTATTTTTCCATAAAGGTTATTTATGTGCTCATTTGGGGAAGAATTTAGAGATGGTACTCTGTATCAGCCTAAAATAGTCCTAAAAGGACAACAGAAAAGAAAAGAAAAGAAAAGAAAAGAAAAGAAAAGAAAAGAAAAGAAAAGAAAAGAAAAGAAAAGAAAAGAAAAGAAAAGAAAGAAAAGAAAAGAAAAAAAGAAAAAGGCCACACACTCAAACAATCAAAGAACATATACTTAGTAAGTCTTTTCAAATGGTGATCGTATACAGAAGTAAAATTTGAAATGTCTTACTACAGTTACCAGTTCTATTAAAGCAGAGCCTGTAAACCACAACTAAGCTGTCGCATTGTGCTGAATTCTCTAAACAGACAAGGAAGGGGAGAGTTCCTGTTAGCAGTACTAACATTATATTGACAAGACAAGAGTCAGAAATTTTAGAGATGTGAAAATGAGGTCTGAAGAGGGCAAGTGGTTTCTCTCAGGTCACACAAAAAGCCTGTGGCTAAGCAGGACCTGACACACATGTTTCCCAGAACTGTGCCTACAATTGTCAAGTAACTTCCTTTCTAGTTAGTCTGGGGATACCTGTCTGCATATAGGTCAGGTTACTCTTCATATTCTTTCAGGACAGAGCCAAATGGGTTTCTGCAAAAGGAAAACACAGGCACAATTGACAGGACAGGTCATTCTGTGGTCTGCTCCAGACAGCTGGTATAGATAGAAACTGCAGCTACAAACCACACCAAACCTGAGCACCCCTTTACAGCACTGTTTCAGCACACTTTGCACTCTCAAGCATTCTGACAAATCCTCATGCTACATGCACAGCATGTAATTTATACTGCTGAATTCATCTAATAACAACATCAGCCCACTGAGCTACAATACAGCTCTTATGGTTGCAAGCATTTTGAATGGAAAGGGAACATATTTTAAAATATTGATTATATCTAGGGCTAATAGGCTGCCATGTAAGTTCGTGGGGAGGTGGAAAAGTATTCAGTGTGAACATTGCCAGCCTTTTCTTGAGCAGGTTAGCCTTGAGTACGGCTGTAAGCCATGCTACACCACTTGTTCTGGGAAAGGTGTATTTGGCAGCGTGGGTGACCAAGTGGAAGACTGTGAAAAAGCAGGAGAAAAGCTTTTATTTCCACAAAATTGACTAAGACTGCATGCTAAAAATATTTTTGAGCCATTGCAGAAAGGTGAATTGAGAGGTAAGCTACCTCACCCCAACCTGGGTAAGCCACCAGCTTTAATAAAAGCAAGTCTTCACTGAGCATGACGTAGTCAGTTTGGATCCAAGACGATTCTGCACAAATGGAAATAAGATATGCTGAGTCAAAAGTAGAGTTAGCCTCCTAGGGCATGATGTGCTAATTCTACAATAGACCATAGCTCAAGCACTAAAGCAGGATTAACTCCTAATGCCCACTGATTAAAAAAGGGAAAAAGACCAGACCTTACATCGCACAAAACAAGTGACTGGATACCAGCCAGATGTTTGAGCAAGTGTCTACTTTCTCCAGTAATAATGTGCTGCCTCTAACTCTCTGGGAAACCTTCCCTAATGGCACTGCTGTTGCAAAACAAATACTTTGCTTATTCAGTCTTCCCAACTTAGTCACACCACACTCCCATGAACTCTGAGCCCCATTCCTTATCTTCAGACAGAATTCCCTGCAACGTTTGTAGCATTTGAGGACTGCTTCAAGAAGAATTTGTAGGCAGACCTCAGCAAGATTTGAGATTTATGGTTTGCATGTTACACTGTGCTTCTGCCCCAAACAGCACATGCGTAATCCTAGCCCAGAAGCTACACGAAATCTCATGACTGGAGATCAATGCTGAGGCAAATTCAGATAAATCTAAAATGCAAAAAATGAATATGAGGTATGTCAACCATGTGAATCAAGTGGCTGGATGTCTATTTGCCTCTCCTTTACTTGAAGACTTTGAATCAGGTTGTCTTTCTTGAAGGTAAATGCCAGCCGAGAGTTAAGGCTTCCAAGAAGAGATTTTTGAGGAATCTTAGGCTGCACAGAATGGAAGACAAGTAATGATCATAGTTGTTTCTCAGCATAATATCTATTTAGTTATATAGTAACCCACCGGCTGTACAGAATCTTAAGAGACCCTGTCTACAAAGGTCTACATGAATGCAGATTTTCTCAAATACTGTATGTAACAGTAATCTACAGAGCATTTGTGTGCAGGGTTGTAGAAAACACCATTCTTCTGACTACAATGCTGTGATTCATTTTTACCTGCTCAAAGATACTTTATTCCCTGTCTCACTTAATAGAGAGACACTTCTTATTCCCTGTCTCACTTAATAGAGAGACACTTCTTGCCAACAGGCCATTTGGGCAGCCCAGGAAAGCCACGATATATGATTAGCACCTGTTATAATAGAAATCAGCTTTCTTCCCAGGAGAAGAGAGAGAGAAAAAGAGAAATTCATCGAGTGCTGGTAGAGCTGCCTCTAGGTTGAATGACTAACATATGATGTAATGTACCTTGGCTCTCCCTTCCTGCCTGAGCGCTGTTCAGCCTGCTGCTTCAGTCTGCAAACAGTCAGAGCAGGCACCAAACTCGAGCTCATACCCAGGGAGAGGTTGTGGCTGAGGTCAGGGCAACGTTACAGGCTCTACTGCAGCGTCTCCTTGTTAATGATGGTAAATCAGTGGTGTTGATCAAAGCTGTGGAACAGCAACCAAGTCCAGATTATAATTCAGACAAGGTGAAACCCCATCTACTCCTTCCTGACTTTCCCATCCCAAGCAACTTGAAAATATTAGATACACAGCAAAAGTCAAAACTTCAGATGAAAATCCTGAAAGTCACTGTGTAAGGCAGGGGCCCCGTATCACCTTGGCCTTGGGCCTTCTGTAAGAGATCCCATGTTTATTCAAATGAATCTTCCAGCGGCCTGTGGCTAAAGCCAGAAGAATTCAGGGGGAGTTTTTCTAGTGCTTCCAGGAGGCCAAGAATTCGCACCTGAATAGCTAAGTGATCACTAAGTGCATTCCTTTAAAATTTGTTTAGCACTGGTTTGACAGCTTTCCATATGCTTCTTCCCTGTTAGGAAAGTTACATGTGAGCCACGTAAACCTATCTCAGTAGCTTCTTTTAAAACTAGCTTTAGGGTTCAGCTGTCCATATGTCACACGCAGTCTGCCTTGCTGCAGAACATGCTGCAGTGGGAGCTTTTATTACTTGCTATTACACAGCTGCCTGCTGGAACTAGAGGGAGTACAAAACAACCAAAGAGGCTAAAGACTAACCAAGTTTTGTTTATCATGGATTTGATCTACTGACATGCAGGTGAGAGGCTCCGTATATTAGTACTCATCCCTCATTACTCCTCTTTGAGGAAATGCTCTAGGAACCTATTTTTGTGTTTCTGAAATCATCTGGATGGACCCTGTGTGTATTGAATGCAAAGTAGTTAAGGGATTTGGCTGCAGAAAACCTTAATCACCTTGGTCTTTGGCAAAGTGAGCAGTGGTGAGAAGTCTAATCTACAGTTAATCTCTTCAGATAATAAAGATAACAGTACTGTCGGAAAATAGAAGCTCTGAATGGAACAAATAAACGAGAAGAAACCACTGAGTCCTGGGTAACAGAACCAAAACACAGGATGGATGAACTACAAACTGAAAAAATGATCATCTTTTAGGCACGACACTTTTTGCAACAGGTGACTGACTAAAAGATAGAAGATATGCAGGTAATGCAACTCAAACACTCTATTTGAAGCCTTAGTTAATGAGGAATGATGAATAATGCATTGACTATTATAGAAGCGTTACATAAATCAACAGCACACACCTGCAATATTCTACTCACCGCCAAAAGAGACACAGAGGAGGTCTCAGAGTTAAGTAATGAATGTGACCAGGGGCAGAAGAAAGTTTCTGTACAGAGAGAGACTGAGGTTTTTGAGGTCAGAATGAAGATGCTTAAGAAAAATCAGAAAATGATCAAAAAACTGGATCCAATCAATTACTGAATATTGGTTCAGTATTTCAGAGGCTATGTAGATCTGTAGCATCAGCTTTGCGCACTGTTGACCTAATCCTTTTGCTGCCATGTATATGCAATGATTTTGAGGAATGTCAAAGCTGGGGGAAAACTGGCACAGATTAACATCAGACTGAAAAGGTATGATTCTGAAGAGGTAAAGTCCAGCTCACATCTCATAGAGGAGAAAAGAGAAACCTGGGCACTCACTGAGGGAGTTGCTGAGACCAGGAATTAATGTTTCACAAAATGAAAGAGGTAGAAGGAAGTAATTTTAATCAACATCAGTTTATTTAGTAAGTATTTGCTACTCAGACCTTTACAGCTTTCCTGAAGTAATTAATAGTGGCTATATGTGGATACAAAATACCATAATATCTAATATCATGTAGCAATTCTGTTTGGTGGTTTTTTTTTTGTTTGTTTGTTTGTTTTGAAATAAACATAGGTTACAGAAGACCAAATGAAATGTAACAAGTGGATGTGAGAATTAAATCGCTAAGTGAACTGCCTATGATTTCACAGTTACTTTGCAAGAATTCAAATAAGCTAAAGTTTAAGACATTGCAATAATTGCTGAAAAACAGCTAAGTCAAACTCTGTGCTCTTGCACCAGTTAAAGCTTATTGTTTTCTCCTGTGATAAAGGTAACACTGAATGGGAAATAAACCCAGATCCTGCAAAACTTACATCTTGTCACACTTCTCATTTTGCAAACTTCACGAGCAAAAAAGAAAAGGAAGAACCACTACAGGACACATTTTATGAAGGAAAATATCAGTCTCTTTTGGAACAGTTCACTCTCAGCAGTGGAACCAATTCAATTGCAGTTCAAATGGGGATCTTTGTTATAAAATAAAACAGTGATCTACTGCCCAAACGCAGGTGAAAAGAACTGTCACATAGCACACTGCATCATTACCAGGGAGCCTGGGTAACCCTATCTATAGTTAAAGCCCTGAATATTGTGGCCCAATCTCTCTCATTTGTTACGCGTGTGAAATGGCTTTAAGGGACTTTAGGAGAGAGTTGGCCCAAAATAAGATAAAATGGATGACTTGACCACTTTGCTTCCTTCTGCACAAACTAACTAACTAATTAAATTGCTCACTGCAAAGCAGTTGCCCTTCAAATGCCTACTCAGCTTAGGAGACCATACAGTAGTCTAATTCCTAGCCAGTGAAGTCAGGCTGTCACCACGGCAGCAGGGTGTAAATCTCCACTGTATGAAAAGGCCCAGGCTGATAAAGCAGATTGTTGTACATCTGTGTCTGCGTCTACACAAAGTAAGAAAGAACGGCTTAGGGAGGGGGCGAGGGAGAGCAAATAGCCCACCAAAACCTTTACCAGGGCGACCACGGGTGAGCTGCCAGTTAGATCGCATGAGCACGGCAGGCGGGCTGAAGGATGCTTCTGAGCACAGGGTGTGGGGTCACAGGAAGAGGAGGCAGACAGGATGGGAAGGGATAATCCAGTAAAGGAACATCACCCCGTGCCAGCTGATTCTGGCATCATACTGTGATGTTGTCCCTCAGGGGAAAAAAGCTCATTCCAGCCTGACCTCGGTCTAAACATTACAGTTATTGCACAGAGAAAAGCTCAGAAAAAGCCAGCGCTTTTGCTCCAGCCTGCACTCCAGACTTACAGGCTGGGGCCCATGAGCTGGCAGCATACACATCTATAAAGACGGGGAAAGTGACAGTCTCCTTTTAATCAGTTTAAGTCTGGCACCAGGTCAAGCTTTTCTTTATCCTTTTCCAGTGAAACTGGAGTCTTTTCTTCTTTCTTTTCATTAAAATAAATGAATGTATGATTAATGATCCTGGAGCCTGATATCTCCCACGTATTCAGAGATTAGCTACAGCAGTGGCTACTGCCAAAACAGCACATGCTGATGTGTTGCAACCTTAATCTCCAGACTCTGCTCTAAGGGCAAGAAGCCCATTTCCATGGCCTCATCAGCCACTGGCCTCTTTGCTGCTGTGGAGGAACGAGCACAGTGGTGATCTTGTAAAGAGAGGCTCTTACCTGCTAGGAATCGAGCTGTGGCCCACCTGTTCATCCCAGTGAGGGTGCTGAGAGACAAAGCAGCAGCAACACACAGAATTACACAATGACAATGTAGCAAAACACAGGCAAAATTGAGATGAAAATTAACCGAGCAATTAAAACCCTTAATTTTACCATCTGGGCACACTGGTTCCCTTTGAGAATGGGCAGTTCCTACAGAGCTTAATTCTGTATTGGAGAGGGTGTTGAACTGAATCCAAGCAGAAAACCAGTTTGAACTGATATTTTTAATCTCAGACCACACAGAAACTTTTATTTTGATGATTTTTCTGCAGCTGAGCCAGAATGAGCAAACATTGATTCTTCTGCTTCAGAATAACAGATCAAAATTTGACATCGTCACCAGGGACCTTCCTGCATGGGAACAGCTTGTGTCTAGCAGGGCCTGAACCTCACATCTTTTGCCATTCAAAAGCCTTCACATCTCTCCTAGGATGTTCTGCTTGCCCAGATGCTGCTTTGCTCTGCAGACCTTTACAGCAGGCTGTTCACCAGAGCAACTTTTTCACTTGCCTAAAGCGATTCTCCTCACCAGAGAAATTGGCCAATTTTCTTTACTCCCCTATGCAAAATGACCTGGGAGGCTGCAGAGTCATCTCTGTATCTGCTATTCCCAGCCCAAGCTCCTGCATACACCCTTAGGTGCACATTAGATCAATGTTCATGCACTGTGGAGTCACAGGGTAATCAGGAAAGGCAAAGAAACCTCCAGTCCTTCACCACTGGTGCTCTTCGCTTTCCCTTCCCTGCAAAAATACTGTAACTCTCCACCTTTGTGCTGCTGGAGAAAAACTCCGGTTTGTCTTCTCAACAAGGCAGATATGGGGATGTACAGAGAAATGGTCATACGGTTGTGTTAGAAATGGGTATCACTGCAGCTCTAGCAGAGAAACAGGAGATCAACACGGTCTTGTCTTGAGACTCTGCATGTAATGGAATCCTCAATGGCACTGAAAGCTCCCAATAACATCAGTGCCAGATTACAGACTTCTCTGTGAACATCATACTTCTTTTTTTTAACCCATATTCTGTGTCATCCTTACCCTGAGGCCACACACCTTCCTGGGCTTCTCTTTGCCCATCTGCACAGACTTAACTTCAGCAGATGATGAGAAAGACACCAAAAACTAATGGAGTACGGTGGACCAGAGTAAACCACAGGATCACAGCCTTTAGCTGCCCCAAAACAGAATTATCATCGTCTTCCTTAATTGCACAGACCTGTGCAGTCTGTATTTGCTGCATGACCAGTGGACCACCACTGTAAGGTCACCAGAAAGCCTAGAGTTTGACCTCTCCATGAACAACAGATTATGTAAGTTTCTACAAACTGAAAGTCCTGGAAACAAAGCAATATATTGTATCTGAGACGGGTCTCCCAGTTAAGTACTTCTGGGTACTATTTCCTTCCTGTTCCCCTACGAAGACAGACAGGTTTTCTTTTAAGAAGTCTCCTCATCCTTGGTTCAACTTTGTTTTACAAAGAGAATTAAGCAGGAGCACAAAGCTGGAGATTGTGGGTAACTGGCAAGATCAAACTATGAGAGTTGTTTTAAAAGTTACTTGATACATAATGAATTGCAAATTCAGTAGAGTACCAGCTGGAAACAGCTAAGCCCTTTACCAGCATGAGATGGGAAAGAACAATGACGAAATGAGCGAACAATGCAGACCTGGAGAAAAAACTTCTGGCACAGCAGGGCAACATAAGCATGTTATATAGAGAACTGGTCCTTGGGTGAAGACACAGATCCTAAAGATGACCCCAGACAGAACCCCAGTTGAGGTACGTGGAGAAATACACAGGATGGCTGCGTGGTCTGAAGCCTGAGCTGTGAGCCAAAAGTCTCCGGTTTCCCTTTTTCCCAGTTGAGCTTGTCCCAATCCTTTTCTGACACACAAGCAACCATACCGAGGAAGTTACGATCTGCAGTCAAACCATGCCTGCCTCCCTCTGTCAGCTGGCCATGCCAGAGGCCACGGAGGACCTTGTCTCAAACTGCATGTTCTGGGAGCGTGCCCCCGGCACAACTGCCCTTCCACAGCCTGCAGCTGCTCAGCGTTTCTCTACTCCCCTCCAGCGTGCTCCCCTGTCCTGTACCGAACACCAACACACTCCCCAAGAAGGATGAGCGTTGGAAACTAAAGTATTCACCTTGGGGACTGAAAAGGAGATGAAGGTTCTTTAATACCTCAGCTACAGGCCTCTAGTTACAGATCTTTTTTGTGGTTATGGCCTAAAATCTCCCCCTACATTCTGATGCACCATTTTGCTCTAAAAATATTAGATGTTTACATGTATATTAGACCATGGAGAATTGAATGAGAATATGTAGTAGGAGTGATTTACTTATGCAATGAGTGTTCGAACACCATCCCCAAACAATTATTTTCTGTTTTGGTGGGGAGAACAGACTGAATTGTCTGTTTCAGAGTCAATAATGTTGCTAATGATGAGGGATTTAAAATATACTTCTTGGCAATATAGTTGTTCCATAAAACAGGAATGCTCTTGGATTCAGTTCTGTACTTCTTAAATTTATGATTTACCCTGGACAAAAATCTTTAAAAATTATAATATGGTGATAAATTATGAATATTGGGCCAAATGCTTCGCCTCTTAAGCATTTTTTCTCACAGTCTTCCTCTAGGCTCCATTAAGAAGAAGTTAATGTGTGTCTCAGAATTTGTTATTTCTTAATAAACAACACGCAGTGGTAGCAGACTTCAAAAAGACAGCTTTACTATCATATGATATACTTCAGTTTCAGAAATAATTGACTTTGAAAGCAGACATGCTTGCACTGGATTACCTACTTTTCCTCTCTAGATCCTGGATGGCAACTTATACTTGCCATGTCTCCTTGAAACCTGAAATAAGCTGGATCCAATTTATACTTTTAAAGATCCTAGCTAACCTTGTCTGATTTATTCCTTATTCTTTCCATATATCTAGAAAAAAAGCTGAGTTTAAACAAAATTCAGTCCATCAGTTGAGAGGCAGAAGTACATAACTTCTAAGACAAGGACTAAGTGAATGCTACCCTCTACCTTTTTTGGGGGGCAGAGGAAGATGTTAGTAATTTTCCAGAATTATTTGATTCACTTTGCCCAGATATTGTGAATAATAATAATAACTTGATAAGAAGACTCCAATAAGACTCTTTTCCCCTCCTTCTTCTGACCCTCACTGCAGTAAAACTAGCTGTCCACTATGAAATAAATGCCTTCTGTGATCACCCCTGCAAAAGAAAGAGCATTGCTGATGAAACAAAATGTACAGGAATTGCTTGCTTTCTGTGTCTCCTTCATAAAGGCATTACTTTGGATCCTTTTTTCTCTTCTTAAAAAAAAAAAAAAAAAAAAAAAAAAAAAGGAAAAATATACACTCCCTCGCTTCATGTTAAAAACAAACAAACAAAAAAAACAAAAAAAAAAACAAACAAAAAAAAAAAACATTATACGAGAGAGAATTTCTCTGAAGAAATTAAAATTGAGAGCTAGTAGGTCAGAGCTTAACCACAGTTTGCAAGGAACTCAGCCACTTAAGGACTGGGGACAAGCTCATGAGGATCTCCAAGTCCATATCCCTGATGCATTTCTATAATCTCTGACATGGACAAATGCATTGCTGATATTAGGCCCCACATCAGCATTATCCTTCACAGATTTGGCTCATTCAGTTGAAGAATTTTTAGAGAGGTTTAGCTCTAAGTATTTCACTCAACATTGACATTCACAGTAAAGTTTTCATCCTTGGAGCTCTAATTTCTTCATGATTTCAAACCAAAATTATTTCAGTTTATTTCAATGCAAGTAGAGGCAATGAAACCTAAGGATGTGGCGATGTTTTCTCATATGACAAAACTAGCTTAACTTATTTTTTCCAATTGAAATATTTCAAACCACTGGAATGTATTGTAGTCTAGATCTTTTGTGCATTTGGGATTAAAAATAGCCAAGATACTTCATTTTTGAAATAGTCTTCTGTATCAGAGAGCTAATTTTTTCCTCCTAATAAAAGTTAATTAAAATCTGCTGGATACAGTTGGATTCATTTCATAATGCAGAACAGCACGTGAAGCACAGCTCGACCACAAAAAAAAAAAAAAAAAACCTCAGTTCCCTCTGTTCCTTTTTTTCTTTTTCCTCTTTCTTTTGGCCTGGTTTGCTTTAGCAAGGGAAATTTCATCATGTGAAATGTATAATCAGATAAATTCTGCACTCAGTCCTCCCCGCTTTTCCCCATCCAGCCATATTCATTTCAAAGGAGTGTCCCATTCCACAAGGATGTTCCTCACAAGCCAGCCAAACCTTCTGCTTTAGCACAATCAAACTAGAAAACTGGGTGACAAAGCCCAGAGCTGCACTCTGATCTCATACAAGTTGTTGCTTTGAGATATTCAAGACAGCTGTCCTGTGCTTCCAAAACGTTGACTTGGCAGAGAAGGAGGAGACATTTCGTACCTCTGCCACCTCCCAATCTGATTTGCTCCCGCTGGCCGGATTTGCAGAAAGACTCCCAAAGCAGGGAGGTGCAGCCCAAAGTTCATTTGACCCGACCCTTGGCTGCTGTCAAAAGATGTCATGAAATATGTGTGACACCATTTGCAACCTTCAAGACCTACCCGCACACAGCAATAGATTTTACATGGTGCACTGACCAAACTCTCCACTGGTTTATGTAAAAGAGCATTTTTAAGTTTCAAATTCATCAAAGCATCAGCCTCACCTAACAGAGCCAAAATTGAGGGTCCCCAGTAGAGCACAGAGGAATGTGCGTGCATGACAAAGAAAATGTACATCTCATTTGCCAGCTATCAGCTCTATTTTCACAGCTGAAGTATCACAATAGCCCAGCAACCAGTTTGTCAAGTACTCACGTAGTGACCTTCATTTTTTTACCCTTAGATCTCAAAGCAACTTACAGAGAAAAAGAAAAGTCTCTTTTAGAGATTAAGAACTTTTACAGAGTAGGAAACTGATGCATGTTGAGGTAATGTAAAGAAGGTGAACAACTTAGGTGGCCCTTGAGTGGTATGGGTCTGAGCAGCTGGCAAAGCTCTTGAAGAAGACTATTATTTTCTAATCGTTTTGGATCTACAAGGAAAACAGAAGAAAGCTTCTTCCCCCCACCCCAGTAGACCCATTTCAGGCCATTCTGTGCTTCCAGAAACAGAAGAAAAAAAAAAAGAGAGAGAGAGAGAAAGATCATCTGGTTCTTCATCAGTTGTGGAGTACATACTATACCAGTTACTGTCATTTCCTAACTCTTCAAAGGATTTAGTACTGTCTTATTCACCCTGTCCAAAACAGAACAATGAGGCCTGTAGAGACTTACATTATTCAACTACATAGTAGAGTTTCCTCAATAAAAAACATCTGGTACTGCACAAAACACCAGCAAAGCTACACACGAGCATGATGTTTGCAGTCCTGGGCTCTCAGAAGAGCCATATTGCTTTATTTAAGCAGAGTGCAAACCAGCATGAGCCATGAGATGAGAAAAGAGGGTAATTAAGGCATGGCTCTCTGCAACCTTCTCCATGTCTGTTGCTGAAGTTTAATTCCAGTGTAAACAGTTGCACAGATTTAATTAGAAAATGGCAGAGCATTACTGCTAGAGAGAGGCAGGTGACATAAAGCATTTCAAGATGCCTTGGACAGATGACAGTCAAAAACCTCTGTTCTGCATAAACACCATAAATACATTTCATGTGGAGCCAGGCTGAACATTTTAATTAATTAAATACTGTGATATAGATACTACATTGTTTGTCCCAACCTTAAAAAAAAGCTACTAACAAGATCTGATCAGACCCCACTAATCTTATGAACATCTACTGGCGAGTTACCTGACCAAAAGTGAAAATAAGGGTTGTCGTCTCTTACCACTTGTTCTAAGAATATCTTCAGTCAGTTACATTTCTACAAGAACACAGGCTTTTAATAATCTATTTGTTCACTGTCCTCAAGTGTGGTAAATGTATTGGTTAGCTAAGAGACCCTAAACTAAAAGAGAGTTTGGGTAACCCAACCGACCCTGGTTTTCTTATCTATACCTCCTTCACAAATGCATTTTCATATTCCAGCTTTAAAATAACTTCAAGTTTATTGGGGAAAAAAATAAAAAAATAAAAGTGAATGCTCCATATAGCTGAAGAATTTTAGCAGAGTGAGACCTGAAGCATGGTAGGCTGGGAACAGTTATCGAAGCCCTGGAAAGAAACATCATCTTTAATGGAAGATTAACGAAGGCCAAGCCAACTCATCTAGAACATGAAGATCAAAAATATATGGCAACTTTGGGCAAACAGTTATGTCATTAAGCAGCCAGGTGAGATGCCAAGGTTCATTCCCAGGCCGTGAGATAAATGGCCACAAGATTCAAGTGGTCAGGAGATAAATAAATCCAAATGAAACCTGAAGGTCACTTATTCTTGTCTGTGCAGTAGGAGAATTAATGCAAGGAAAGAATGTTAAAAGAGTATTTTGTATGTGTAGCCACTCAGCCACTAATTATGGGTGAGGTTATTGCTTCCAAAAACAGTTAGTTACAGTGCCCTGCTGTGACTGGCAAAGGAGAGAACTTGTTCTGCAGATGTAGTGCCTACAGCTGGGTATCATGATGTCAACACTTAGGGTTCCTCTCAACAGAAAGCCAGCTTTCTGGGCATGAGAGATACTTCAATTCTCTTTTCAGAAACTTTAAACAATCATCCTCACTGTTGTGCCTGGATTCTGACCTGGGTGGCTGCACTGAACTTTCTGTGGCTAGCCTGGCCTTGGTCTCTGTTCATCCAAAGCACCACAATTTGGGACTCAAATAAAGTGGTTCAGTTTATTCTTACCTCTGCTATGACAGGCAGGTTTGGTGTTGCAAAACCTCATCAGTTTCGGTTTTGTTCTGTTAGTTCAGACATGGAATTATTCATACCAGTGTTCCTTTATAACTAAACCTCAGCAGCTGGATGGATAAGATGGCAAATTCCAATTTTAGGTAACTTCTGTTTACAAAACATGTATGACCCTTGCAATGACCTTAGACGAAACTAAATTTGACTGCTGAAGTGGTAGATCTTGTCTTAGTATGACTTTGAGGACCTCACACTGCTGATGTTCTGAAATGGAAGCTATAGTCTTTGCTCTTTAAATTTACCTTCTTGGGCTATTCAAACAGCAGAGTGTATAATGACTAGTTTCTCTTCTTTGCTTGTATCAAAAATGCTTTAGTGATATATTCTTTGCAATTTGCTGCCATGTAGAGAATTCTCTTGAAGTCTTGTCTCTCAGAGTAAGACCATTCTTGCAAGAAACCCATGAAGATTCAACCATCCAGTAAAAAGCAGATGCTTTTATGATAGCAAAGGCAGAAGGTGGGGGGTCAGAATCTTTCTGAGGTAGAAGTTCAGTGTAGTCAGCAGAATTATACCACAAAGCTGCCCCCTCTTTAGAAAAGTTGCTTCATTCAGTAAGATGTTTCCCAGCACATCCAGTGGAAAAGTTGTTTTTAACCAGTGGAGAAGCTTTCTTTCTTGTGGCAGGCCCTTGGGACTTTGGTCAGCCAGATTCACAAACAAAACTACCCTACGGTTAGATGATATAAATACCAAGCTTTAAAGAAAGAAAAGCAGTGATGAGCTGAATGCTCAGGGCTTGGCTTTTCCATAAATATTCACCTATGTACAATGAAGATATTTCTAATACAAAGAAGACCAATTTCACCAAGTATGTTTAGGATCTAGCAAATCACTAGACCAAATGTTTTCACAAATTGTTCCCTGGCAAGCTTTTGCTTTTGGCATTCTCTCTGGTTATTAAAAAATATCACCTTCTTAGAGATAACTTCCCTACCTCCTGACAGATTCTTTCCCAACACTGTTGACTCTAGGTACCACAGAAACACCCACACATACTCAGCTATGTTTAGCATGTATAGACAGGTTTTGATCTGTAGGGCTCAACGGGCTCACCAAAGGAAGGAAGAAACAGACTTTCATCATCCATGGGGAAGATTCCTATCACACAGATTTTCTGATCAAGCAAAGGGCTTTTTCTGCAGCCAGCTAATATCTTCTCTGCTGAGCAGCACTGCTCATGACAGCAGGCTGTTGCGTAGCAAGGCACTGCTTAATGTGAGTAAGGGCACTGCAGTCTAGCCAAGTGCAACTTGCCTAAGCTGATGCAAATTGGTAGGAGAGCCAAGTAGATGGATTCTTGAGATAAGCAGTAAAAATGCACAGAGCCAAAGAAATACTTTAAAAAGAGGAGTTTGTGGATATGCAAGTGGCTGTTGAACTAAGAGAGCAGTTAAATACAAAGAACAGATTGGATACTGGTGCCCAATGCAGGGGGAATGACACCCACCTCTCCCACTGTAACAATGAAATTGAACAGACTACAGTGAACGTGAAAGGTAAAAGCTTGAAAATTGCTAAAATGAAATTATTTCTTTACCTCTTTACTGCTTTTATCTCTCTGCCGAGCCAGATTTGATGAAATCTTTGTACATAGTTAAATTCCTGTTGAAGGAGGAGTTAGGAAGATAGATAAACACATTTTTAGCATAATTTATTTACTTGCAGAGGTCCTGTTTCATTAGGCACAGGAACAGTGAAAACTACCAGTATGTTTCTTCCAATAGAAACATCTTCTTAACGCCTCACTTGTTCCCACAGGTAAACAGCACTCTCTTGGTCTCAATCTCTCTTTAACATATCTGTTTATTATACCATTTCCTCCTCACCAGCAGCATCAGGTTTTTCCCAGCACTAGGAAACCACATGGGACAAATCCCTTTCTTTAAGCCCACCTTGCTTCAGTGACTGACCTGGCCAAATTACAGCTAAGCTGGTACCAGAAAAAAGCTTGGGTCATGATACAGAATTGTTCACAGCTGGCTTCCTTTGACAAGAAGCCTAATCATTTCTATAAAGCCCATGTGTTCTGGTTTGCAATCTCCTCCCCTTACTTTTTCTTCTATAGGGACAGCAAAAATTACTACTCTATCTTCCCAGACTTGATATTTTTATCCATCCTCCAAGAAGACGTTGCCATACAACATCATCCAAACAGTACAAAGAGAACTGTAAGAAGTACTGTGTAATGCAAAGCACAGAACTGCCTAACACGCTGTATCTCTTGGATGTTATTTCTCACCAACTTGGGCCAACATTTTTTTTCTTGGAGTATTTGGAAAGAAGCTGTCATTCACAACATTAGTCACTGTAAGATACAGAGGGATTCTAGAAGATAAGCTGTGGTGGTGGAATGATACTGGTTTAGCCTCCTTTATCAAAGCAGACTGACAAAGCAATGTGTGTTGGATAGTCTGGTTCTCAGACAGTCTGGTGCTCACTTCCCATTCAGCAGCCTTCATTTCCAGATGTTCACGAAGGGCCTTCTTCAGATGAAGTGCAATGTTCCCTGTGTATGACAGCCACTAACTCACTATGGTGAGAAGCTAGAATAGAGGGGGACCACACTGTGAGCTAACGCAGGAGCTGCACAGGGGGTGCTGGGTTAACAACATGGAGTGGAGGAGTTAGATCAGGCTGCAGAGCAGGCAGGTGGAAGATGAGCCTGCTGGAGTTAAAATGCGCCTGGCTGCTCTATGGGCACAGGTAGAACTCAGTGCATACCAACTTCACTGAAGGGAAAATACCGTGCTAGCAATGGTCCCACAACTTCATCTGTGAGACGGGCAGGATTAACACATTAGTACTTTGCAGTGGGGCTACCAGAATTAATGTGTTAATGTTTGGAAGTGCTCAGCAGCTGCAGGAGTTGTCTCTTCTCTGTAACTTCAAAATAGCACACAGTTTAGTGCCCTGTAGACTGAGTACCTAGCCAGTGCCAAATGCTGCAGGGCACAAGGGGCTGGTGCTAGACAAGGAGGGCTTTTTTCTTGCATAGTAATTTCTTTAGATCAGTCTTTTTCTTAGCCGTGTCAGCAGAGTTTAGCCCAGTGATATATTTGGAGTTGAAAGGTTGTGGCTTTTGTCTCCATTGTCTCTGTTCTGGCACATAGGGATTATGCATTTCACTCACTGACAGTACGTGTATTCATTGGCATTGTCTGCTGTTGACCATGGGAATCAACCTGATTTCTTTATGCTCTAATTTGGAATTTTTGAAACAGGGACGAGGAAAGGAAGTTGACTGTCACTAAACATTTTTAACATCATTTCTCCTCACCCCACCCCGTCCCAAATAAGGAGAGGAAAATTTATACTTTGCCTAGGTCCTCAAACACAGCTTTGATTTTGCTCCGATGTTATGAAGGAACTTCATCATAACAGAAGTAGAATTAGTTTACATACTTTCATTATTTTTTTCTAAGGCATTGAAAATATTAACACTGGCTCTGCCTGACCAGCATTTAATGTCAGCATCTCATCGTTTCAGCCAAGTGCAACGCTGACTTTGAAAAGTCTGCAGTCTAAAAAGTGGCTCAGTGAAAGTGATGTTGGGATACTTTATGTTCGCTCCTCTTTATCCCTCACAGAATGGGTAGGGGTAGAGGCAAACAGCTGATTCTTTATATTTTTGGCTGTCAGTGTGCTGATCTTAAAAACATCAGGCATTCCACCAGAAATAAACCTGGAGAGGTCAGCTGACAGCCTGATGAAGAAAGCAAAAGTGTTGTCATCTGCCTGCAGCAGGAACAACAGGTTGTCACTAGAAGAAAAAGCTTTTCAGAAGCCCAGTTTTCTCCTCATCAAGCCAAAATTTGCCCACAAAGAAAACCCTCAAATTCTGTCAGTCCCCAGTTAAGTAACATTTAAAAGAATACCCTTTAATCAGCTTTAAAAGTGCTGCCTTTCACTTTTACTTAATATCCTTCTTTTTGAAGAGAGGAAACCAGGACAAGCAGCCTTCATGTTGTGTGCTACTTGTTACTTTATGCAAAGTACTTCCATACCTGCGTTAGGGCTTTATTTGATTCCAAAGTTTTACGGAAAATGAAAGAGCAACACACAAAACTTCAGATGAAAGGATTGCCCAGTCACCACTAAATAAACTAAGAAGTAATGGAAAGATACAGGGCCTTTTCTATTTATTTATTTAAACTCCCCTCAACACACCAGCAGAAAGCACATCAGGCACAATCATCCTCAGCATAAGGGGGTTCAGATAGAGGTTTTTATTTCACCAGTTGTCAAAACGGGTGCAACTAGCAAGTATTTGAAGATCACCCTCAAAGATCATGGCTGTTGCTTCCTTTTCTGAGTAAAGTAGCAGAGAAAAAGGAAGTAAAACAGGAATGAAAATATTTGGTGGGATGCCTCCTGAAATAACCTATTTAGCAAAAAGGGCACTGTTAAATATTTTTAAACTAGCACCAGCTAATTAAACAATTAAAGGTTGCAGAACTTGCCCTGAATATAGGGTCAGGTGCTGAAAGACTCTTTTGTAAACAGAGTAAACTGATGTGGCTAGATGAAAAACAAATTATATGTATGATCACAAGCCCTCAAAAACCAGTCCCACGTAAAGGACTTTTAGAAAAGAAAAAAAAAAGCAACAAACAGTGAACCATTCAGTTTTCAAATCAACCAGGAACAAATTCTTCTCTTACTTTTGCACACTTTTTTTCCCTGCCAATAGCAACAAGGTGAAAACGAAAGGGCTCTCTAAAACAGTTGTTTCAGATTTGCATAGTGCAGACCTACAGCCCTAGGTGAGATCAAAAGCATGAGCTCACACGATACTTCCTCCTCAAGGTGGCTGGAAAACAGAATGAGAAAATCCCAGACCAAGTTACACAACTCAAGAAGGGTAACTATGGTCTTCTTAAATGACAGTCAGCAACAGCCTGTTTTGTCCCTCAGTTTGGATGCTACAGAGAAGAGAACAAGAAGTCAACAACCACCTGAACTCTTAAAAGAGCAAATACAATTATCCATGCCCTGCTCAAACTGAGGACTTTGGAGTCAGATGACAGGAAACGTTCAGCAAATGCAAGTGTCTGGTTAGGATAACTGGCCACTCTGCCGGAAAGAATGGAAAATCAAAACAAAGCAGCTGTATTAAAAGGGCTCACCTACACACACGGGTGACAATTGCAGGTTTCTTAGCACCCCGTAGCAGCAGAACTTCAGACTGTATCGGCAGTGGATTTTCTTGTTCCATGAACAATCTACAAATATTTCCTGATCCAGATAAATTGTCAAAGGACCAAACACTTCTCACCCACTGAAATTAAAACATTTCCTATTTGTATCACCCAAACATTTCATTGATACCTGTTAAGTACATCAAAAAGATTTTGAGAGTGTAGATAAAAAAGGTATTTTGCTTACCTTTTCAAAGGCAAGTTCTTTTGCATTTGAAAAACATATTTTGTAGCCTTAAAACTTTTTTCCCCCTATATTGTGAATCAAGAACACTTGAAACTGACTCTTTCAAAGTTCTTATGAGAACTTGGTTTCCCAGCAAAAACTAAACATTTAAATGAGGCCTGCTCTATAGGAACAATTGCCTCCCATCACTATCACCCACACACCACCCCTTTTAACATGACCAGCCTCAGAGAAAAGGATATTCTCCTTTCAATTTATGCAAGACCCTATGGAAATAAAGGGTTCTTGTACCTGCTGTTTCTAAAGCAGTACAGCCCTGCATACCTCTGATTTGGTTATCTAAGCATGTTCTGTACTTTCTAGGACTGTAACTAAGCCAGGAGCAAGGTAGGCACAGTCCCTCCTTCAATACAGCTCACTGAACAGAGTTCATTCTGCAGGGTCTTTTGTGCCGGCCCTTGAAATCCCGTCCCCTCTGCCCAAGTGCTAATGATCCCATGGTGTTTTGCAGAGTTATTGGGGTTGTCCTTAAACAAAATCCCACTTCATTTTCCCTTTTCGGGCAGAAAGCCCAGAGCTAATTGGATGCATTCTCTCTCTTCTTCAGTGGCTAAATGCAATGCTGATGTGTGCATATAATGTGGGAATCACGTTAATCATAGGCGCACAGATTTCAAAGCCAAGAGTGCTGGTTGTGATGACCTAGTCTGATCCGCGGCGTAACACCAGGCAGAGAAATTCTGCCAGTGATTCCTGCCTCAAGCCCATGATTTTGCACCTCAGTTCCCATCTGTATAAGCCTAGCTGCAGCTTCCAGACACTGGGTTTGTTATGCCTCTCCCTGCCCCACAAAAGAGATCTTTGTTCCAGAAACCCTCTACCACACTAAAGTCTTGTGGGCTCTGACCAAGTCACCTCTTCACCTTCTCTTTGCTAAAATGAATAGATTAAGCCTCTTATATCTCTATCTCCAAGGTAAGGTTTCCAGGCTTTGGATTTTTAAGTGAAAAGACCTCATAGACCTACGCTCTTTGTATCTCCCCAAAATCTCAAAGATATGAGGCTCCTGCACTCTGGGCTCTCCAAAGGCTGCTCAGTAAATCATTCAGAAGTTAGCCATTCAGTCCCTCCAGTTGGATCCACAGCCTTCACTCTGAACCCAAGCACATGTGCTGTGTTTTTAGTTCTCTCATCACCTTGTATTTCTCAATTTATGCAGCAGAATAGCCCTCTGCCCAAAGTTTTAAATGGATCTGAGCAGCCGCACGTAAGTAGGGTCATGGGTCCACGTTCAGAAGACAGACGTGGAAATTTCACTCACATCCTTAACAGAGGACTTAAAAGAGGTAATCAGTAAGGAGGATTTAAGCAATTAGGTGGGATAACACATGAAGTCTTGGCTGCTCTGTTTGGGACTTGGCTTGTTATTTTGGTCTGTTATTGCTGACTTGGTCCTTTAAAAAGAAAACTTGGCTGGAAAGAGCTGCTCACAGTGCTTCCTGTTACCCTGCTTGACCTGCCATATGTGTGTGTGCATCAAATGCCAGCTTACCAAATGCGCTGTTCCAGTAATTACTAGCAAAAACCCATGTAATCCATGTCAAACTAGCCCTAATTTTCATGGCAAGATTCCCAGGCTTTGCAGCGATCTGGTGCACCAGCAAGATCTCAAGCACTTCGTACACATTGAGGCATGGAAACATTGTCAGAGGGTTCATCAAGAAATTAATAAATAGTTAATGCTGAATCCCCTTCGCCTTAGTCTCTTAGTTTCTGCCTCAGATAGATATATATACACACAACTTCGGTCTTCATAATTCTTGCACATAATTGCATTGTGAAAATCAGATTTTAAGAGAGCAAGAGTGTTGGAGAGTTTAACAGAGATGCTTAAGGGCTACCTAATTCTTTTAAGATGTCTAAGATACTAAACGATCCATAGGAGATGCATATCATAGGGACAGTGCCAACAAAATATTTATCTAAATAGCTCTAGTCAAGCTGGTGAGAATTGAAAGCTCACTTTGGAGAATAAATTTCAAAGATTTGCTTTCCAATGTCTTTTGTCAATTTCCATGATTTCCTATACTTTAATAAATCAAAAGGGCATCAAAATAAGTGTAAAACCCCTTTGCAATACACAGGTATTTTTACCTGCTTTTACTTACCATGTTTGTATTTTTAAAAACTTGAAGAAGGAAGGAGAGGAACTTGGCAAATAGGGCAAGCAAAACAGCATCAGCTTTTTTCACTACAATTTTTCAAACATTTTTCAACAAAACAAGTTTGTAAAAATACTGCATGTTTTTCATTTTATCTGAAAATGCATCAAGTACAAATACAGAAGATCATACATCTTGAAGCTGTTATTTTAGGCAATCTGCAGACTCAAAAAAAAAAAGTAATGTTATTTTCACAGACAGTAGACTAGCCTTTTTTTTTTTTTTCCTTTTCTATATATGCAGGGATTCTTGACCTGATTCTTGATTTGGTGGTAAGGTATGGAATATATCTTTGGCATGCATTTGGCATTATTATTTACTCTAAGTGTAACAATACTTTTTTCTCACAAAAGTCTGAGACAATCTATCTGTTGCCTGCCACCTTCCTGAGTGTGAGGTAATGCTTACATCCACTGCTCAAGAAGAAACCTAGGAACCAGAGAGCTACTTGTTCAGCTTTTTCAGCACAGTCGAGCCAGTGTTTTCATTTTCAGCATGCTTTTCATTAAACATCACTGAAGCCTTTTTACTAAATCTGTTCTTGTGATTTTTGCTGTTGATGAGTAGGAGCAGAACCCAGCAGAGCAAAGTGATGTAGCATTAGGGTATTGTTTCAAAAGCAACATCTAAATGTGACGGCTGCTCCATTGTCTGGCTCTTTAAACCCAGCACAGTATTTTCCTTATGGGACAGTGCTCCAGCAAAATAAATAAATGGGCTGTAATCTAAACTCCAAAGCCCTCTATAAGATGTTATTGTGTTCCGGGCTCAGCAATAATAGGAGAGACATCACATTACGGGCAGACATCCACTTCTGCACTTTTGGAGAGATCAAAGCTTGTCTTGTCTGCAATAACTTTGGATAGATGCGAGATAGCTTTAGCCAGCATGGTCTAAACACAGTAAGGGAAAATGTCATCAACACCCTACAGGATAATTTAAGTCCCAATTTCTTCTCAACACCTCACAAAAAGAAAAGCCTGAAAAACAGCATACTTATATGGCAGCTCTAAGGACTTGAGTGTGGGAGGCAAACCGCAAGTGGAAGAAGCAGCACCACAGAAGTGCTTATGCCTCTAGGAGAGGCTATAAAATGGAGAGAGAAAAGAGGTCATATATCTGAGCTGAAATGCTTTAAAAAGAGCTTAATTACCAGAACACAAGTGCCCCAGACTTTCTACAGAAGAGCCTCAAAGTGAAACACTCCTTGATAATCCTTGTTCTCACAAAAAAAAAAAAGGCACAACTTGGGCAGGGGCAGCCTGAGCCAAGTGGAGCAGCATCACAGGGTGCAAGATACTCTTCTGCAGACTTTTCTGTGGAGGCTGATCCCAGTTCTTCATTGTCTCCAAATAACGAGATATGATGAGGTAAATCTTGGCACATTGTCCTCATCTTCTGACACTAGCTCTGGCAGAGAAGAGCAAGATAAAGGTCTGTACCTACTATATCCCACCCTGGAGACAAAGCCCAGGTCCTGCCTGGACATCTTTCCCCCATGCCCCTTACAGCATGGAAGACTGTAGGGCAGCTGGCACAGCCAGGAGCAGAGCTGGATTTGCCCACAACCCCCCATGGATAGCACAATGTGGCTGTAGCAAGCTTCAAACACCACCAGAGCATGCAGCAGATCGGAGTCCTGGGTGCTTTTAAACTGCCACAACTCAACCTTCAAGAACAACCCTAAATTTCTGAATTGCTCCAGCTTGAGGATATTGGCTCTGGGGCACAGAGGTGTTTTAAGAGCTCAGCCCCTGCTCCTTTGAGGAGCAAGTCCCAGCGCCTGTCAGGCTGCAGCACTCCTGCAAGGGGCTGCAGCCCCAGTGGGGTCAGAGCCCCCAGGCTGAGAAGCAGGGGGCTGCCAAGGGGGCCACGGGCTGGCTGCCCATCTGCAGGCAGGGAGCGAGGAGCGCCTGGGGATGTTCCTGAGGGCTGCCAGCTTCCCCACGGGAAACCTTGGCTGAGTTTTCTGCTGTGCTGAATGACGACGTGTGGGCTGTAAATCTGGATGTTAACACAGGAGCAGTATGTGCTGCTATACAGACGGAGGAGGGACTCAGCCCTTTCTTCTCCATTATTGACAGTAATGCCTCTGGTAAGCCAAGCACAGGACAGCTAGGTCTTACTCAAGGACACGGACATTAAGGACGACACATGATCCTCCTCCTTTTGCCTCTGTTTCTTCCAGTCTGACCTCATATAGTGTCTAGGTCCTGCCTCACTGTGCAGCTAACACACAAGGCCTGGTTTTAATATGTATCTTCAGTCAATTCATTTCATGACAGGCTAGTTACACGCTCATTTTTGCATCTTTGAACTAGCATATCAGTGTTTTCTATCAAAGCGAGATCCTGCTGCTGACCTGCTGCTCTCTGGCAAGTACTTATAACACAACAGTGTTCTTCATGCAACATTAGATAACCAGCCACAGCCCCTCCACCTGCTTCACACTGTACCTTCCCTACTGCTGGCAGCCTGCAAAGCACCAGAAGCAATATTTTATTGAGCTCAACACATCAAACACCTCAGTCTTGCTCAAGTACAGACACAGATGGAAATGAGTTATTTGTGGAAGAGTGAGGATGACTAATTAAGTGTATTATTTGTCCTGTAGCATTGTTCAGGGTCCCTGTGCCAAGGGACCAAGCCTAGCATAGGCATCTTGGTATGCTAGGTGCTGTACAGAAAGAGCCACTCCCCTGGATGTACAAAGACAAAAACCACCATGTTCAAATTTGATGCAATACAGTTATAGAAACACAGCCCTTTGAGTCAACAACCACCCAGTATTTTCATCTGGCAATATGAAGTGGATTGAGAGTACAATAGGGGAAAACACCTAAATGCAGCAAAAAAAGGGATAATAAAAGTAGATCAAAATACAACTGACTGCATTTAGATTAAAATGGCCAAGACTAAGCATGGAATTCGCATTAGTGGTGATACACAAAACTGACTGGAAGTGCAATGAAGTTTTAGGATCTGCTTTCTCCAGCTTTCACCCCTCCAACCCATTTTATGAGCCTCCTCTAGCAATAATTCCGCAGGCCCTAAGTTGCCAACACTCAACAGTCCTGACAGCTGGAGGTTGATTTCCCCACCCCTCTTTTCTTTAAGGCCTAATACGAGTCTCCTTTGCTGAACTCAGGCCAATTTATTGCCTTACCCCACCCTGACCCATAGAATTGATCACTGTCCTTTCTGTAACACCCTCAGACAGTTCTGAAAACTATCATATTTCCCGCCCCTGCTCCTGCCATATTCTCTTTTTCCAGACTAAACAAAACTGATTTTCTCAGCCTTTACTCACAGGTCATGTTTTCTAAGCCTCTTATCATTCTTGCCACCCCAGTAGGGACTCTTTAATGTTTGTCTACATCTTACTGACAGTGCAGTGCATCCAGAGGTATGTCACAGTATGGAGCAGACTTACAAAGAAGGGATAATATTGTTTAAGTAACACATAAAATTAAATATCAGGAATAGGAGGAGTTATCCCATATTGCCAGAGATTGATTAGGTGAGACCAAATATATTGTTTCTACCTTGGTTTCTTCTGAAGTGGAGGTGGATGGAAAAGGCTGCAGCGGTGACCATTTCAGACGCGTGCTTTCACAATGAGCTCAGTTACTAAGACAGGCCTTCCCCCGTCTCTCAAATGGGGTCATATCAGTGGGAAAGCTGGAGCAGAGTCAAGGAGCCTGTGGCTCTTAAGTTTAGTGGCATTCGAATGCCTTCACCTGATGCTGATTAAAAAAATCATGACAATATACCACAGACACACACACCCCCTGTGAAGCAAGGCTATAGCAAGAACACTGTGCCTGTCCTGCTCAAAGGAGTGTGGTGGAAGAGCCCCGTAAGCTTGTGTCTACTCTGCTGGTTCTGAAGCAGAAGGCAGTACTGTTATATCCTACATCTAGAAGTAGAGGACCCCAGCTAAGAAAGCAGCCTATTCCCCTCCCTCATGTTCCCCCTTCCAAGAAATAAAAAATAAAAATCCACAGGGACACACTCAGCTCTGCCCCAGTCTGCTGTGGGAGTTCGCTGGGTCTCTTGCCGAGGCCATTTATCAGCATCAGCTCTAAGGAGCAAAGCCTGAGAATTTTTCACAGAACAAGTTGGAAAACTATGAGAAATTGAGAGGGGGAGGGTGTGTTAACAGTCAAAAAGCCCTATAACAACTGTTTTTCCTAGAAGGCCTAAAGGAAAGCTTGAGACCACAGTTTATCATTTGATTTTATTCAACATTTACTATGGGAAATAACGAAGGGGAAAGCTAGGATTGTCTGGAATAGGCTCAGAGCCAAACTACACTACTGAGAAAAGGAAAAATAGGCAGAGTAGCCACATGCACATGCGATTAATTCCGCCAATTCTTTGCTTGACCACATCAATCCCCACCCTGTACACCCCAATTACTGCCTCACCCATTTCAGACCAGGAATTATGTTGTGCTGCTCCTCCAGCAACCCCATGGGCTAAGCCCAGTTCTCTGCTCCCCTTTCTCTAATCATTTACACTAATACCAAGAGTGAATAGAAGACAATCGAGTCAAAAGCCAGAGCTTCAGCTAGTGGAAATCAGATAGCCACCACCAGTGTTAGACCGTGCTGGGGCTCTACCCTACAGCACACCTCTTCGTGTGACAAGATAGGGAAGAGGGGCCCATGATTATTTTCTAATCCACCTCAGTTTGCCTAGACATCCATCAGCACTCTCCCAAATGTTCCTTCACCCCATCTCTCAATTCCCCTTTCCTTACCAGTTTCTTCTATCTCCAGCAGCATTTATAAGAGGTCTTCTGTCCCCTCAACTCTTCACCCCATAGAAGACTCCTTCTCAGTCCTCCTTCTTCTGTGGGTGTCAGGGAAAGGAAGGTGTGCTTCAGGCTCTCCTCCTGCTTTGGTCTCACCCTGTGGGAGAATTTCAGGCCCATCATTTCCAAGAAAAAAAGTCTGTACAACAGAAGACTGAATGGTAAGCATCCTGTTGTGGCCCAGCTGCCATTATTAATCTATATTCCATGTAACATACAAACAAAACAAAAAAACCAAACAACATCCAGGAACAAGAAAAGAACACCCTGAATTCAGGGCTTAAGTAACAATAAGAAAACAGGTAAGTCTCCTCTTCTGGAAATATAAGTTTTAATAATTTACAGATGGAAAATATGACTATCCCTCTGCATATTATTTTCCTCACTGCATTTTACTTGGCAGCTCAAAACCTTGCAGCAGGAAGACGGCCATATAATTGCACAGGTCAGTTCAAAGCCTTGTGCTTTGCAGATCATCTGGTGTTTGACCTACACACAACTGAAAGCCTTGGCAAGAACACCAGCCTGTGATTTTTAAGATCCATTAATGAAATCAGTATCTTCGTGACCACCGTGCACATACACGTTACACCTGAAACAGACACAGCTCAGGTCCCATCAGGAACTCGGTTCCAGCTGATACCATCCACAAGCAACAGCAGCAAGAAGCTGAGATTCCTACACTGACCAAACACAAGTCTAAGTGACAGCTCAGGTTAATGAGCTGACACACATTAAGCATTCCACTGAGGTTTTAAGTAGAACACAGTAATTAACAGGTCAGGCAGCCTGAAGCACACATAATTATGGCAGCTCAGCTGACCTGAGGTAATCAGGTAAATGGTGATAACCTGACCACCTGTCTGAGCCAGAAGGTGTCTCAATCTGGCTCCCCAGGCATGATTTGTATGGCTATGAATTGAATTTGGTCTCCCTGTTGCCTAGCAAGGCAACAAGGGCATTATTTATGCTGCACATGTAGAGAGCCTCTACATCTGTATCCATAATCTCCAAGTCTGCTTCAGGCGCACACAGCTGATGCGGATGCAGCCCACTCAGCTCTCCAAGGGCCTGGGATCACACATGTGATTGTCAGCCAAAAGATGTTGTGTTTTTCTGCCTACATGAGCCAGTGCTCTGCTCCTGCCAACAGCCATTCTTGTTTATTCTATATCTGTCTGTCTTTCTTGGCACCTTGCATCGTAGCGTCTAAGAGCCAGCGAGGCACAAGCAGTTGGAGGGATCAACTCGTTTCGTTAAAGTGCTCAAACAGACAGCAGGTGGGTAATAGCTTTTGGTCAAGAGCCACACTAAGAAGGCTCTGAAAATGAAGGCTTGATGAACAACTACAGAACTTGAAGTGCCCAGCTGCCAATCAAGACAAATTTAAACAAACCCAAATCTTAAAAAACAATCTCCTCAGGCACTGGAGAAATTCAAACCACACTGGAGGTTCAGGATTCACATTGTGACTCATCCTAGGTGACACGGTATGCTTTTATTCACTTACTTTCCTCATAAACAACCACTTGATGTTTCAGGATAAACATCTGTCAGGAAATAGATCATATCCTATAGGAACAGAAGGAGGAAACTAAGCTTTGTTCATGAAATGCTAAGAATGTATTTTTAATGACAGGGGCCCGGGGCAGTTTCCCATAATTAGTTTACAGGAATATGTCAGAAAGGCTCTGGCAGGCTACTCAGTGCTCATAAATCTGCATGATTGTGAAGTGTTCCAGGGTCCCTTCAAAGGGACTGGACCAGAGGCAAAAATAGCAGGATGCCCTTCATGTGGTAATCCCAGCCTCTGCATACCAGGAGGTATCAGGAATCTTAATGAGGAATCCACTCTCTGGAGACTTTTACTTCTAATCTACACCACGGGCAAGGGGGAATGAAGGAGGGAAGTAAATAAACAGAAGTAAGTGTGCTCACATTCTTTGATAGAGCCAAAATGCACTTCCAGAGTCTTTAATGTTCTCTCTTTGCTGACCAGCCCTGACCCTGTAAGACAGAAGGAGTCAATATATTCATCATCAGAAATAAGGCCAAGTTCCCAGGCAAAGCTAAATGCATCTCTGCTGGTGTCACCTGCACTTTCTCTTCAGAAAGAGAGACCTGCTTCAGTGAGGCGGACTCACCCTTAATCAGGCTTGCAGCACTTAAACTGTTTGAATAGGAAAGGGCAGCAGCTGCTTGTATGCCTGGGAGGGAGAGGTTGGCTTCACCTCCCTGAGATTGCTGTTGTCCTAGACAGGAGGATTCCAGTGGGTTTGGAATGTGGAAATGGCTTTTTTCCCATGAAGGTGTGAACACCCATATAGCAAATTTAAGACTACAAAGAAAAAAAATCCATTGATTTCACTTAAAAAAAAGAGAGAGAAACAACTTGGGAGGGTTAGCTATGTTTTTTTTTTGTTTTTTTAAGTTGCCCACCTTAATATATAAGGGAGTACCAGTCATTTTTACTGCTGCCTGCCCTTACAGCCCCTCAACGCACCTCCTCTGCCTGCCTCCCAGAAAGCCATGAAAACATTTCCTTACTCTCTGCTTGCCATTTCCTCAGACTGAAGAGGAAACACGAGCAAATCAAGACTGAGGAATGAAATATATTGAAACAGCAATATAAGTACTACTGTCTCTCTTGGTAATCTCCTTCAAACCTTGTATCCAAGGACCTTAAGAAACTTCACACAATCCTGATTTTGTATGACAAGTGCAATTCCCCATTTCAAAGGGAGGGGAACTAAGCCAGAAAATGAAAGACAGTCTCCTAAAATCCTGAGCTGTGTTTTAAACCAAAAATGGATTACTGTAGGAAAGTCTTTTCAGTACTCCCGTCTGAAAGTTAACACTGAGATATTAAGTGTTTCAAAAATAGAACACGTGTATGAGAAATCATATTTCCAAGCTATTTAACAATTTTTCTCCTTAAGTTAGCTGTCACATATTTCTTAACGTTGAAAACAAAGTGTTCTTCAAACTTCCAGGTAGGGTTATTTACTTCATTCTTACATGCAAGTCAAAATACGCATTCAATTCATCAGCTGATATCATTCATCCATTTTAAGTCATGAAATCAGATATTTTTTTCCCCTCCTCATTCTTGTAAGGTAGCAGAATCCCTGTGCTTTTGAGGAGTACAGTGTGACACAGTACAAGGCAATATAAATGTATTCAGTAAAATTTAAGGATGAAAATCCTCATTCAAAACTCCTCTTGAAATAAGGAGAACTAAGATTGTGCTTCAGAAAGTCTGTTTGGGACATATAGAAAATATATGATTTTAACTCCATTTTGAAGCACTTATTCAGAAATAACACAGCCTGTGCACACAAAGGAGAGCCAAGCCTCTTTTAACCTTTCATTTCTATAGAAGTTGTCACAGCTCCATCAGTGAGAGGCCTCAAGACCACCCTATTGACCCAGCAGAGGAAAGAAGCTTTCCATGAGGATCTATACCAGGCTCAACAATATTACCTACCCTTCTCTTCCACCATTTTTGCCTTCCCTAAAATGAAAACGCTTCCACTTTATAAAGCACTTAGGAAATTACAGGGGAAAAGAAGGGAATAAAAAACAACCTGAAAGGCATTGAATCGTCATCCAGATCACTTACTACTACAAAGACTCAAGGACACCAAGAAGTGATACCCAAGACAACATCTGCTGAAGCTAACAGGAGGATTCATCTTCCAACCTGAGTTGAAGGAAGCATCTAATAATTTGCACTTACCCCCACCTACAGACAACCAAAGCTTAAATAACCTGTGAGCCACTATCTTTAATTTTCATTATAGGCAGAATGGCAGGGCCCAGCTGGGAAAGGCAATCTGCTAGCTTCTCACCAGCTGGCAACAATCAGGGACTAAGTGCATGGAAGGAGTGAGTGCTTCACTTCAGACACTTGAATGAAGTAATGTTTTACAGTGCTAATGTAAATACAGTTCAATAGAGAGGATGCTGGCAGGAAGCCACTGTAAGGACATAAATTCGTGGTGCTGGAAAACCAGCTTGGCTTGGCCTGCTGAAGTAGTTCACAAAGCAATCCAGCATTTCATATAAATAAACTTTTTACCCAGGTAGTAAACCAAGAGGAAGGCTGGATTATTCTATCAGATGCCATGATTTAACAGATGGTTCCATTTCCTCCACAACTCACCCATCCTGAAAAACAAGTGAAATGAAAGAGGTTCTCAGACGTGTCTGAGTTATTTCAGCTAGACAGGACATCTGAACAGCACACAAAGCAAGTGAGAAACTATTCTCTTCTTGCTCGTTCTCACTTGCATCACACAAGATAGTAATTTATACTGTCCCCAAATTAGGAGATTTGGGCTGTGAATATGTATCTGTAGTGGCTTCTCCAAAGAAGAGGAGCTCTCCAACTGTTGCTCAAAAGAGAAGCCACTGAATCCTCTTGGATTATCACTTATTTGCATTTCTCTAGCCCTGCTGTTTGTCTCTTGCAAGCTCTTTATAAATGCTAAGCCTGACAAATGCTTGGGAATTCATCCAGTGCCCAGCTCAACTGTCACAGGAAGAGCACAGAGGTGGCTGATGGCTGTAGGTACGTGTGCTGACTGGGCTCTGCAAACAGGCTGATGAGGGCAGTCTGAACGCAATGAAAACACTGCAGAGGGGTTTCACCTTTGTGCTCCTGGTAAATCAAGTAGCTATGTCTTCTATCATCTGTAACAGATTCCTTCTTCAATACCTTTATGAGTCTGTGAGGCTGTGTGTTTCTACTTGTGACTTCACTTCAATTTCCCATCACCTATCTCCTGTACTTTGTCCTCATACTGAACTAGTGTGGTGGCAGTGCCCATGGCAATCATCTTCCCTTCCCTTGGGTTCTGCTGTCTTATTTCAGATTCCTCCTTAGCGCTGCCCTGCTTTCCAGCAGTGAGCAATACTGATGCACATTACCTCGAAACAACAATGTGTCTTGTCCTTATCTATATAATTTTCTATTCTTAACAATATCATTCAGAAAGGGGTTACTATGACTCATCTGTAGGAGGTCTCATTACTTGCTAATCCTAGGTTAATGAGTTTTTGGGATCCCACTGTTTGTGCCTGGATGTGCAAAATGACTGGGATGCCAGTGGTGGTGAAGTCTGACGACTGTGTTGATGGCAGTAAGATAGCTGGTAGTCACACTCAGCTGAGTGTGTGCAAGGAAAGTTTTTGTCTAAACCACCTCTTCGACATCAGTCACTAGCCCACACTCCAGGTATGTAATCTGCTTTTTAGCTTAGGTTCCTTGGACAGACCTCACCCTTTCTTCTGACAGAAAGTAATCCAAACCCTAGACTACACTCCCAGGGAACCAGGCTTCCTTAGCTTCAGTGCCAGGCTGTTTCTCTTTCTTCCTGGAGCATCTGTTCTATCAGGGATAAAAAGGGCTGAATTTCTCCTCACATAAACCTCCTGTAAGTATCTAAGGGGTGGGTCCATGCACTCTCGGTCAATCTCTGTCCTGCTTCCTTCAGTTCAAACCAATGTCAGGAACTGTGTACAATCAGCTACTATGGTTTTGTTCCCTACTCTGAAGAGTTCTGCTCATGTTGATATTTCACAGCGTTTTTGTTAGGGTTAGTTTTGGGCTGTCACAGAATATTAAGCTGGAACCACATGTTCCTCAAACCATCTTGCCTTTTATTAGAACTGAAAAGCTATCTGTGGCCACCAGGGCTGCATATTGTAACATAATGTAACTGTACATTCCTTCTTCCAGTTCTGGTTTTGGGGAAGAAAACAAATCCTCTCAAACTGTCTGAGGTCACGCAGCTCTGTAGATATTGCCAACACCCATCCCAATATTTTACGTATATCCTGACATCCCCTGGGTGAATGTGTTTGCACATCTGGCTGGGCAGAAATGGAGGTATTTCACAGGAAAACGTAGCAAGCTGTTGCTGTATGAAGGACACCTGCAATGTAGCATGCCCTGCCTGCTCTGTGGGATGACATCCGTGACATCTGAGATCAAGAGGAAGGCTGCTGGTGCAGAACCTCTGCTTACATTTGGAATTCACGTAGTGCAGTGCACACACAGCCCTTGTTCTCACCTCAGACTGTAATTATACTCCTGAGCTATATAATAATCTCCATAAGCATATATGTAGAATCCAAAGTGTGACATGATATAGGCACTTTTAAAAGTCCTGATAGGACTTTTTGGGAGCCTGCACTTGACTCAAGAAGCAGGACAGGGTTTTACGTAAGGCAGAATATAATGAATTACTAGCAACTTTGGATAGCTAACTAGAGAAGCCATCACAAGGGGCCTGGATTTCCCAAAAGTACCAGGTTCCCAGCCTGATTGGTCAAACATCCTTGATAACACATTTCAGGTACAATAAATGAATGAGGAAAACATACCCAAAGCATTTCTGCAGTTTGTAGACCCAGTCTGAACAAATGTGAGCTCCTTCTCAAGTCATTCACTTAGGTCAGCTTTCCAACGCACTCCTCTTACTCATCAGAACTTCCGAGTTGCCAACAGCTGAGACTGAAACTCTGGACTTGGAGGCTCAGGCTTCTCATGTCTGTGGCTGTCATTATTACCATCTTAGGCATGCTGGAAGGGAGGCGACAATGGATACTGCAGGCAGCGATTTAAGATGTGGCCATCGCAGAGGTGGAACTGAAAGGAAGAGAAAATTAATTTACTAACCAGTCATGTACAAACACACCCCCAAAAAAGAGCTGTTTACATCCACCATCTCTGCAAACAAAGAAGCCATTTACTTTTCTGATTTAAAATCAGGACATTGGGCATTTTCTCCTTAAAAAGGTAGAACCAGTAGTGCAGTCACTTGCAAGCAAATTTAAACTCAAATCTCCCAGCCTCAGGAGGGAGAGAGAGAGAGAAAGAGAAGAGGGTCAAGCCCCATGGAAGAAAGGGAGAATGGTCAATGCATTCAGGAGCAATGGCATGTGTGGAGACTTAAAACAGTAGGGCATGTAGAGCTACATTTAGAACTAGAGGAAGAGGAAAATGGCCAAGGTAGAAGGGAAGGAGCTGAGAAGGAAATGTTTTAGTGGTGGGTTGTAATTTGTATCCTCCATTCTGCCGTGAACTGCTCTTTAAGACCACTTTGCCTAGAAGCTGCCTGCTAGCTTTGAAGCTTGTCCTCTGCTCTCCCAACTGCTTTCCTAATGGGATCTTGGATCTTCATTCTTTTTGGTTTTCTGGTTCTGTGCACAGCTGCTTGCCAGGTTTGCTAAATTCCAAAAACTTTTCCTGACACCAGGGCTGCAGTCACTGCAATCCATGCACCATGCTCAGGAAATGGGAGCAGGATAGTTGTGAGCTGACTTTTGTTATACATTCAGCAGACAAACCCACAGCTAAGGCTATGGGATGGAAAAATGGCATGAATGAGAATCCTATCTTTTGTGGCTAAGGACAGGAAAGGCAGAAATACACAGATGAGGTGATGAGAGGCCCACTAGTAGCAGCAACAAAAAAAAAAATAGATTTTAAAAAATGAATCATACATTCCAGGGTTCAAAATATGCCGTGCTCTAAGACTGGCTGCTTTTAACAGGACGTTATGGTCATTTATAGGCTATGCATTTCATATCTGAAGTGACAGATCTTGTGCCGTATGCCTAGGAAACTTTCCAAGGTAATACACAAGACTGCAGGAACATCCAGATGTTTGTTCATGTAGTTTCTCCCACCTCTGCAGAGTCCGTTCTTTATTAAGTAGGAGTTGTCAAGAGACGTATCCACTTTCAAGAACGACAGCTCCAAGTCCACGTCCTGTGCAGAAAGGGAAGGGGAGCTGACACAGCTGGTGGCTGTTCCCAAAAGAAAGAGTGACATATCAAACCACTGAAATTTCCTACACCGCTGTCTCTGTGTCTGCAAACTGGGGCTACCATAAAGGCTGTCATGAGGCACGTATTTCAAAAGCGTGCCTTGAAGCTCCTGACAGCAGAGGTCTGGATATTGCTAAATGTCAGCTTTCAGTTCCAGGATCTCAAATAGGAAATAATGGAAATAGACAACATTTATCCTCTAAGATAGGCCACAATGTGTGGAACAGGAAAAAAATAGCATTGCCACAACAGCCCCTTTGTGAATGGCGCGACAGGGACTGAGGCTTGTATTTATATGAGCCTGCACAGATCCCCATAAAAACATTGGCCTGAGATGGGTCAGTGGATGTGCTAAATGAAGGCACTACGGCATTGTTCTGCGTTGGCCCACTAATGCCAAGAAAAACACTTTGCAAGGCCTAGTCACATGTATTTCTGACCTGCTAGATAGCGTGTTATGACACTTGCTTCCTGGAAAAACAGAAAGGGAACTTGCTTTCTACAGAACTGGATCTGTGGTTGAGGTTTTGCAAGTAATATGGGCTTGCCACATGAGCAGGGCTTCTTGTGACCCCCGCATCACACCCTCTGAGCTTCTGTTGAAACGAGAGGCTGCCTTCTAGGGGGCACCCAGCTTGTAGCACGGGTGAGGGAGAGCTCCCCTGGGCTGAGCCCCTTACTGGCTCTGTCCTCCTCCAGCTGTAGCGTCAGCTAGCGAGGGATGAGGGAAGAGACGTCTGTTTCAGATTAAGGGATCAGTCCAAAACGTTCTGTTCAATGCAAAAAAAAAAAAAAAAAAAAGAAACCCACACCACAGTGTCGCCGTGAAACAGCCAGAACCCTTCAAAAGGGAAAGGATGGGAGGAATACAGTAGATGGCAAAGTAACTTCTTGTTATGACCTGCCCAAGGATGGCAAGTGGAGAACCACGGTAAGAGCAGTCATTAGAAAGGGTGTTAATTAAGTACCAAGCTTGCTGCGGGATAAAGGCTTCACCATTCCTCAGCATTATTACATTTTTCAAACATAAGGTTCTCATTAATCTTTAAGTAGAGAAAGAAGTATCAGTTCCAAAGTAAAAAAAATAAAAAAAAAAATCCAGCAATAATTCAACATTTTCCAAAATATTAAAGTTTAAAAAGTATGGGGAAAAATGATTTGTGCCTTTTTAGACAGCTATGGATTATAGAAGGAGGTTATTGGCTTTTCTGGATTCTGTATCACTCTTTTCCCCTACCATTCCTCACAGACTTACAAAACTTGGAAGCTTACTACGCAGCAGGCTCATCAAATGGTGAACTCATCAGTAACTTCTCAGCAAGACTTCAGTTTTAATAGGCCTCTGATTACAGGAGGGATATTTTTGTTTTGCTTTAAAAGAAGAGCACCGATACAATTTACATATGTTTATTTGGAGGCTATTTTTCATGAAACATAAATGGAGTTGTTTTTTTTTTACTGATATTAAAAGCAGAGGGATGTTTGTGTATCACGAGGCCTCACGCCAAGACCTGAAGCGGGGGTGAGGCTGTGAGTGCCAGCCAAACTTCAGCACTGCCTGGGAACGGGTTATTGCTTCAGTGGATGTTGTTATTCTTTATTTAGAATAAGAAAACAGCTTACATCGTATGGACCAAATGCCCCACTCGTATCTGTTGTTCTAATTGTCACTGCTGTTAAACGTAAACATCTATTTTCCTTGCAAAGCCATTGCCTGTTCAATTCACAGCAATAAATCAGATAAAAGCAAGAGTTTGAGTGGGTTTGAGGCATCCATACGTGTCACTAGATGGCGGTGCAAAACAGTTATGGTATAGCTTAGTGGCAAATCACAAGGCTGTGAAGCTTGCAACAGGCTGCTGTGGGAGAACCTGCTCATGTATCCACATCCCCATCCAGAGATGCTCGAAGAGATGCTCTGAAGAGACAGGCTACACAACCCACAGACATGAACACAGAAAGCACCAGTTTTCGTTCTCAACAGCAGCCCCTACACACTGCTCTCGCAGGTGTAGTGAGAGCCTCATTCATACCCGGCTAATCCGCTGAAGCCAGGGGCAGTGGCAGAGTTGGGGCTGTTTCCGTACTGAATGCGGCCCTGACTTAGGAAATCTGTCGGGCACGTTTCCAGCTTCAAGCAGATGACTGGCTCACTGTCTTCCCCTAAAGCCTGTGGTGTGGCTGAGCCTCAGAATACGTTTCTAAAAATGATACAGGGAGGTGTTATGGCTATTAATATTTGAGTTCGGCTCATCAGACTTTAGAAGTTAATAAATAAATAAATAAATAAAAGCTGAGAGCTAGCTTGCCACCCCGCTGGGAGCTCTGGGAATCAAGCCAGTTGCCCCATCTCCCACTGTACCTGCACCAGTGCTCTCAGCCTTGTTCAGCTCTGAATTATAACCCCGCTGCCTCTCGCCTTCCAGGCTGCCTGCAGTTACAGCAGTGTAGCCACACCAGCAGTGTTAGGATTGGCAGAGATGAGAGGTGAGGACAATTCAGCTGGGCCTTTGCAGTCCTGCTAACAAGTCTGGCAATGATGCATGAGCCCAGCTCACAGAGAGCTGTGCCCATCCTGCAGGGCTTGTCACTAAAATCAGGAGGCGGTCTTCTAAACCCCCTGGGGAACCAGCACTGGAGGCTCCAAAGGTCTCACCTTCACGTAGTGTCACAAAACATGTGAAACTGGAGTGGGCACTTCCTATTTTACTTTTTTCTGCCCAGGATGTGTGTATGTGTCCACTATGCTCCAGGACTGAGTGCCAGAACCAGATGGTACAAGTGCAAAAGGCTGATAGGGCCGTCCAGGACTTATTTCCCTGCCCAAAATCTGTTCTCTGGTGCTCTGCCCAGCCCAGATTTAACTGACCCGGGCGCCGTGAGCTCTTGCCATCTCCCTTGGGAAGTCACTTGAGAAGTTTTAATACATCGCTTCCCATGGCCTCATATGCCTCACCCTAGACTTGCCTTTGTCCACTGATCTTATCGTCCCAGCCTTCCCTGTAAAAAATCTGCTCCCTGGTTCTTTACATCACAGCTCACTTTGGCTTGTCATTTGCCCAGGCTTTAATGTATCTACTTCTTTCACTCTCTCCTCATCAGTCAGCCTCTCAGTCTCTCAATCACTTCTGCGTCCTTCTCAAGAAGAATTAAATCCCCCCCTCTATAAATAGTTCTGCTTGGTGTTCCAGCCCGCTGTTGATCTTTCCATTACCAAAACTTCTTGTCATTTTATAGCCCGCTCTCTGCTGCGCATGATGGCATGCAGATGCTACTCATACAGATGTTAGACATTTTTGGCTACCGGTACAGCAATAAAGAGCTATTTTTCTAACACAAAAAAATTGAGATCTTGCCTTAAATGAACTAAGTCATGGAGAGTCAGTTCTGTATTGGGTTTCCTTTGCTTCTTGTTGCTGATAAGCAAAATCACATTTTGCCACTTATATCCGGGGAAAAAAAATACCCATTCTTCTGCTTCATATCATTCTTTAAAAGCTCCCTGAAGTCTGTCCTTTGCTAAGATACCCCCACACCACTGCCAATGAGCCAACTGATGTAACTTTGGCCAATGGTGTGGCACTCCTGCCCCCATTGTGTTACTGTTCCTTGAGCTCTTGCATCCATCTGTCTGTATCCACCTATTGCCTTCAGCAGAGATTACAATTTCCCTGAAGAAGAGCTTCTCTGGATGTTCCAGGTTCTTGATTGCAGGTACAATAGCATCCTGGCCCCAGCCAGGCTCCTAATAGCTACCATGGATGAAAACACCAAGCCTTACTCCTTTAACTAATTCTTAACAAGAATAAGCTTATATCAGATGTAATTGTATATTTCCAAGGGTGAGATTAAAGGCAAATACTACGGATATGTCGGTCACAGTTTAGTGTCAGACAACTATTAACAACAAATATTTGTAGAGAGATGAGACTTCCTTACCCCAACGATATGACACTCCATCTAAATCACGTTGCACTCATGCCTACATCACTGTACACTTTTACATGGATACTTAAAACAATCTCTTCTTCTCTTCTTGGTAGACAGTGGTTTTCAGTCCTTGCTTCCCATTTTGAGTGCACAGACACATACCCAATTTCGTACTTGGCTACATGATGTCTGCTATACCTTGATTCTGCAAGTGCTGACACATAGGTGTAAAGCAACTTTAACAGTTCTGGTCATTTGTGTGTTAAAATTTCCATTGCTACTGGAAAAGTCCCAGGTCACTTCCCCTCAGTGGAAGCAGGAGCTTGCTATAGTAATTATGGAAAAACTAACAACATCCAGACATGAAAATTTGGACCAATTATTTCACCTGGGATCTCTTTCACAACATATTTGCCTTCTCATTTCTTTCTCCCTCCTCTCTAGTTTTTGGAAGGCTGTGATCCCCTTAAGTTTTCAGCTTAATCATATCCTATAAATATGGGCAAAACCCAGGAGTCTTCACTGAAGACACGAACTTTGCCATTGATTTCAAGGCAGCTGGGTTTGTATATCAGGAACACATGTGGGTTTATGTACAAGCCTGTATTTAACGTGGAGATAAGAAGGCAAAACCAGCAAAGGAAATATCAGTCTTAATTTGGTATTTTTCTGAAGGAATCTGTTATACAGATTTCCCTTGTTTTTGTTTTGCTCGTTTTGGAGGTTATGAATTGTCAGGGAACTTTTACGAATAACACAGCTCTCTGGGGTGAGACAACAGGGAAGTAAATGCACTTATTTTGGTCCTCCAGGTCTGCTTTCTGCTAAGCAGCACAGGTCTCCTGCCACTGCTTCTCCTGTGACTCAGCCCACTCGCTGCAGTGAAATGTTAACAGCATTGGACTGGCTCATCCTGCGGATTTAGAAAGAAGCCATCTGGACTGGGAGTCACTCTACTCACCCGTTACATACAGAGGTACCAAACTCTATGGTAAGAACTTACTGAACTACTGTAATATTGGTGCTCCTAGTGCATGGGCACTAACATAAAGGTCTGCAACAATGATCTATAGGAGAAGGGCAGCGACAGTTTGTCTCTGAATGCTTAAAACTAGGAATTTATCCCGTCTCTGTATATAGTAAGAGAATCGGATCCAAAAAGTGAACCTTGAAATGCTCCCTAATGTATAGTCTATCAGATGTATCATTTCAGTTGTGAGCCCCTACAGGAGTATAATCCAAGAACAGCAGCAATATATTAATAAAACATGCTTCAACCACTTTTTTTTTTCTTTTTTTTTTTTTTTTTCTGGCAGATACTACTTTGCACTGCAGCCTAAAATATATAATGAAATCCAGATCTCACTAGTTGCTGGAATGTCCTTTGTCAATAACTGTGAAAAATGTCTCTCACCCTGCAGTGCGAAACTGAGCTGTGGAATTTATGTGCATAAGTTCTTCCACTCCTAAAATGCAATTAATCCTGAACGAAAATACTGACATTGATTGTGCATGGCAGAGACCACTCCCTACCTCTGCTGTATATCCTAATCCCTTCTGCACCTATTCTGTTTATGTGAATTTATTGCTTGCAAAGCAGACTCAGCAACCTCAGAAACCCAGCTTGTTTGTTTTGTTTGTTTGTTTTTAATTAAAAATTAGTATCAGCATTACCGAACAGGAAAGAGATGGGTATGTAAACCTCCTCAATGTGAGACACCATATCAGGGACCAGGATGCTTTTTCATTCTTTGCTTTATTTTGTTTTTCCCTAGGGAAACCAATTTAAGATTCAACTGCTTTTTTAGTCTTTGGCTTTGTGGAAAACATCCACATGACACCAATTTGGGTTTGGTTCTGACCTGAGCTGAGTTTGGGTCACCGACCTAAAAAACCTACAAAATATATTTCCCAAATCCTCTGGACCAATGTCGTGCCTAAGGACTTCTCACACCACTTTGCACCCTCTTCATATGTTTTCAGTTGAAAGCACCAGAATAGTCAGCATTGTTGTGTTGCCAGCTGCTGACCACTTGACATAATTCCATGAATTATGGTTTAAGAACTAGCTGCCTACATCATTCTGCACATACTTCTGCTTCCAGAAGTAGTGCACAAAGATCACTGGATTTATGTCTCTGTACACTTGTGGAAGGATGAGATTAAGCAGATTAGCAATTCAACCCTTCTCCCGGGTGAGATTTTGCCCCTCCACAGCCACAGAAGGAAAATAAAATTATGCAAGGAAGCAGAAAGAACTGTGTTCGCCAGTCCAAATGCATATCCAGGGCCTTCTCACAGCAAATGAACCTCTTAAAGGAGGCTGTGGATGTCCATCCTGCTCTAAATGATTCCACAACGTTTGATTCCATTTTCTAAATATTTGAGTTTGAGCAGATCCTTGTCCATTTCCTCTCTGCCTCTCAGAGGGCTTCACCAAGCTTTTCACTTTACATCTTCAAAAGGCCCATCTTTTTCTCCTGCATGGCTGGAGATGGATAGTAGTAGACAGTAGCGCTCAATGCCACTTCAAGGACAGAAATTAAGAGCCTTGGCTTCCAACCACTTGTACTCCTTTCCCCCATTTTTATGACTCCAGTCTACAGGCCCCTGTGAAGCATTTGCTCACTTGATAGTCACAGTGCCTGCTGCAACGTGTACCCCATTCCCCAAGGAAAGATTACAAAGTACCTGTAGAGAAGATCTGGTTCAGCCCAGAGGAGGTGAAGGAGAGCCACAGGGTGTCACTGGGCTAGACACAGGAGTGCCTGATACTCCTCGTATAAAGGAAAAAGAGTGAATTCCCTAGAGGTGAAATTGTGTAATGCTCCTCATAGCAAATAAAAAAAAAGAAAAGAGCCATGAAAGCCTGCAAGTGAGCATAAACAACCTGACAAAAAGAGTGGTGCATTAGCTGTAAATGATAATATCTCCAGCTGTCACTTTCAGGCTTGAACTGTCTTCAGTCTGACCTGAAGCAAAGGGACAGAACCACTAAATTCTTGTTGTATTTTGGTGCCTTGCCTTGCCTTCCCTGCCCTTCTCTCTGTATAGCCATACAATCACCAGGGACGTGAAACTTCAGGATATGTTTAAGGGATCATTTGACTTAAAACATTGGAGAATTTTAATCTTCTCCATTAGGTAGTAATAAATGTTAGAAGAAAAATGTACATGCAGCCATGTAACTAGTCATTTTTATATTCATCCACAAAGCATTTTGACACGTAATCACTGAGCACAGCCCTGTTTTGGAAAGCTCTTCTGTTGCTAAACTGTAGCCGAGCCTGGTTTTTAAACAGGATCCTCCTCCACTCCTACCCCTTCAATTTTTATAATCAAAACAAGTCTTTAAAAAAAAAAAAAAGAACCAAACAAATCTTGGATTTAAATTACAGGGTGCAAGGAAAGAAGTTTATAAACCAGAATATTTTAGGCTAGATAATGAGGCCCACAAATATGTGAGGCAAAACCTCCTCTGAATCAGCGGGCTCTGCTTTCTGGCAGAATCTCATTGAAGTTTCCTCTGCCCATGCAGAGGAGAGCTGAGCCTTCCCTGGTAAGTGGAGGAGCTGAATGTATTGCACAACAATTCCTACTTGATCTGCTTCCACATGTGCACAGCCATAAGTGATTGCATTTGGACAAAACAGTTGTCAAAGAGATCAGACCTGGGATCTCTGCATGAGCTGAAGCCCTGGTGTTTGTGCAAAGAGAGAACTTGCATAAGCACCAGCTTCCAGCCTGCTTAAATCTATTTCACACCACAAAGAGGAGCAGCGAGCGCCAGGTGAGAATTTCCCCTCTGTGCAGGAGGGCTGGCAGTTCCCTGGACAAAGAAAGGGAGAAGGAAAAAGACAGCATGCTGGAGAAATGAGGTGGCACAGATCAATGTTCATTCAAACCCAGGCTAGCATGAAGTCCTGTTGTGCAGAGGTGCAAAAGTGGGATGAGAATCCTGGCCCTTGCAGCTGATGGGTTCACAGCTGTGGCTGAATTCATTTAGCCCTGCAGCTGCACCTCGTGGGACAATCCTGAACCTCAGCATCATGAGATGCCAGCAGTACAACTTCCCTCTGGGGTTATACTCTAAGAGAGGGAAGTTGGCCCCACTCATCGATTAGAGCTCACCAAGTCTCCTTGTCCTGCTCAGCCCAAGAAAGAAGGAGACAACTGCATCTGTGACTGACTGAATCCTACACGTCAGCAGCTGCATCACCGAGAAAACAGCTGCAGCATGCCGCGATGGCTCTACGAATCCCACCGGTTTGGGATTAGGTAATGTGGTTTGCAAGGCCGGCAGATGGCAATCTTTGTATTCGTTTGCTCTCGTGCAGAGCATTTTCATCTCAGCATACATAACACCCGTTGCATCAGTCAGTTTGGGGTAGGATTTGTGTCGTTCCCGGCCAGAAGATGTTTTGTTCTTCCTGGCTGACATTTCCATCCCAGATGTCAACCAGATGGAGAACAAGAAATGGGTCTATGTGAGAGCTTTCCTCTCACCAGGCAGCCCTGCAAACCGGACACGGAGAGGTGCTAAACTCAAGGCCACCTTGAGCACAGGCCAATAATAATACCCAGGTATCAGAACTTCACTGCATCTCAAACAGAGCCCAAACCTATGGGGCTGCAACTCTGTCAGTACCTTGGGAGGCTGAGCCTCGGTATTGAAGCCTTTAATTTTAAAGTCTGTGCTGTAAGTGTCACGTTGCAGCGTCAGTTCCTAACAACGCTGCTGGGGACTCCACAGAAAAATGGATCATTAAAAAGTGAAGATTCAAATGGGGCCACCCTATTTACCAAGAGTGCCTTTCTATTTCAGGAGCCCGATCTGACAGACCAGGCACTGCTCTTTTTATTATGGGTCACTGCTTTTTCAAGCCTCCCTGTATTGACTCCCTTTCCTGCTTCCATCCCGGGGACCTCTGCTTACACTCTTCCTTGTTATTTCCCCAGCTGCTGGCTGGGTTACGACCCCAGTCACATCCCTGATAACAGCTTCCTCCCTCCTTAGGCAAGCGAGGAGCCAGCATAGTTCAAGAAACCTGTCCCTTGCTTGAGGAGCAACGCCTCCTTCGCAGGATTCAGACTCACTTCTCTGTGCCCCAGCCACCCCCACTGGCATCACTGGGGACCCTCCACCTGCAGATCTGCCTCCCAGCCCCTTCCCTCCTTTCACCTTCCATGGCAGCAATTTCTCTTCCACTCTCTGGAGGACTGCCTGGAAGCCTACTGCAATGGAGAGCTTTGTCACTCCTCTGGCTCTCTCCTTCTTGCTGCTGCCTTGTTTCTCCAGGTTTTGTTGGACTGAGAATGTGCCCTAATTCAGGAGGTAGCTGACTGCCCTGTTAACTCCTTACCAGCTGCAACAATGCAGTTGTGTGCACACCCCTTCACACGTGATTTATGTTCAATTCCAGTACCTAAAGCAGAATATAGGAAGACCCACAATGCGGTTATTCTTGAACAGATAATACTTTCCCTTTGTGGACAGAGCATTCGCTTTCACTTCCCTATTAAAACCACTCTGAGGGCTGTGAGGTTTTGCGTTCCATCTTTCTCAAAGTGCTGGTGTCAATTCAGTGAAACAAAGAATAGATTTCCCCAAGCCTCCAGAGAGCTGCACCCTTCAGGGGTGGGTGTCATTTTGCTCTCAAATTTCCCTTGGAGATGTGTCCATAGGGATCTCATCCCATCCTTTTGCCTTGTCTTCCAGTCCTCCTAAGAAGCTCTCTCAGATGCTTGATTTGAAGACCCTAAACAGCAGAAAATCTCCACATTCTTGGAGAAATTATCCCAGGGCTTAACTGAGATCACTGTTCACTACCAGTAACTGCAATTACTTCAAGTATGCATTTGCTAAGATTTAATTCCTAATCATTGGATATGGTTAAGCCTTCCTCTGCCGGATTACAAAGCCATTTACTTTCAAAAGTCTCTTTCCTGTGTATGCGCGAGAAGATCATGCCCAAGGTGTGACTGTGCCTTCTCCAAACTTTTCCCACCTTCAGTTGAATAGCATCATATTGTAGCCCGGACAACAATATCCAGATGTCACATTGCTTTGAACCCTTTGTAATCCTTTTGAAAAGCTTGAATGTACATGGCAGTAACAGCCTCACTGATACCATACACCAGTTCCTAACTTGTCATTGACACATGGGCAGACTTCTTCCTTGCTGCAATAACACCCAGAAGCTTACTTCCAGTGGTTTAACTACTCTGACCTTTATGTCACTTATAGAATAGCTGCCTGGTAGGATATTGTTCTTCATTTGCAGCTGCCTTACAATCTATCATCTTTGGTGATCTGTCACCTTCTGATATATTTAAAAGAGAGTCGGTGGCATGCCTACTTTGCAGTCAGGTTGCAAGAGCAAAACAAAGTTCTCACAGAAACTCTTGACTGTATCTAAAATTTGACAGAACAGAAAGCAGAGATAATAAGGAAATCTCTCCTTCACTTTTATGCACTGGATGCATTTTTCTTGGCTTCATTCAACATATGCCGATAAAAGATGTTTTAACTCGGTGTGATTTCAAACTATCACCAACCTCAAGAAAACTGAGGTAACTTAGTGAAAAAAAAAAATCATTTACCCCAAATTAAGCATTTGGCCTCAGCTTTGTGGGGCGACTTTTTTAATCCTTGTAGTAAATCTGAAAGAAACATTGAAATGAAAACCTCATTCAGACTTAGAATTTATTTTCTTTAAAAAAGTCACAATGAGACCGTGTAGTGTTCAAAGGCCTGGTTTTTTTCCTTGTCAAGATTAATAACCCAGCAGACCTGCCACTAATGGAAGTTTAAGTGGAAAATGTTACCCACCCTTGCTCCACAGAGCTCCATTTTTGTGGTGCTTCTGAGAGGTACAATTCTCCTCCTTCCTAGCTGATGTAGGATATGATATTTTGGGAGGTGTGTTTTACACTTAGGGATCACGGCACGCTGAAGCCAGTGTGAATCGGCTAAAGACCAGGTGCTGGCAGCGCAGCCGTGCCAGTTTACGTCAGCTCAGTAGAATGGTGTCATTTACACCACGAAGGGAGAGCAGAGGACATGACCCTGTCTGTATCCATGTCTCTTTAGGCATTTTTGCAATTTATTTTATTTTTTAGTGCTAGCATACGTTCACGGGAAATACGTGTGACACTAATTTTAGTGCTGTAATACAGTAAATATCTTGATGTCTTTAAAAACTACACATGAACAAGCAGCCATGCCGTATTTGTTTGTAGAAAGGACTACGCTGAGATACATGAGAACTTGAAAGAGAAATTGGCTGGAAAGTGAAGCGAAATTGGGTTCCACTGGAGAACTCCCAGAAAGCAAACGAACAGGGAAAAGGGAGAGCAGGAGGCAGAAACAATAGGGCTAAAAAGCAGTAACTCCTAAACACCAGAGCTGCTACTGACACAGATGGGGAAAGGCGCTTCTCACGGGGCTGGTTTTTATTCAGCCAGTGCCTGTTTAACGGGAGGAAGGAGAAAGACAAGACCGGGGATCGCAAGGGAGCCGGGCGGCGTGAAGGAAAGAGTTAAGGCTGGAGTCGCCCTCTCTGAAGTGCTCTGTGATGCTGTGCAGTGTTTCAGCCCCCAGAGCCTTCCTCCTCCTCCTCCCTCCGTGTGTCAGAGTGGGGAGGAGGCGGGTTCTGCTGAGCTGTTAAATCCTGAGTGAAGTTTCCCCCATTTCCAGTGGCCACCGTTGTCTGAGGCTGGTTCGGAGCAGGGCTGGGGTTCCCCTGACATTTCTGGGACCGTAGCCAGCCAAGAAGGGAAGGAGAAGAAAAGACGAGAGTTTTACAACTTGCTTTTGTCTGAGTGTGGAGAAAGGGGAACGGGAAGCGTCCTTTTTTTTTTTTTTCGAACATCACATTCCTGTGTTTTTCTTCAGCCTGGAAAACATATTAATGCTGGTGCTTTCCTCGCTGGAAACAAAGGAGCTAAACTGGACTGAGGAAGCGAAGGAGGCTTGGGGAAGTTTAAAAGAGAGGGACTCGGAGCAGCTGGGAGTTCCCTTCCTTAAATGAAATCTCTGCCTGTGCGGGTAACCGGCACAGAAAGCAGCCAGACCTGCAGGTAAATGGAGGAGCAGAGATCCCAAAGGAGACTTCCACTCACCTCGTCCCACTTGTCGAGAAGGTGAAGAAGAAAAGAAAAGTGAAAAGATACGCGAGTAGACGGATGAGCTCGGGGACCTGCTGGGCTGCGTAAGGATAAATCACCGAGCAGCAGCAAAGCTGTATGGCATTGCTCTCCTTTTAAAGGAAAAAGACGTGAAACCTCATCTCGGGAAGGGGAAGTTCCCTGGGAGTGTAAGTCTCCAGTCAAACTCTTGGCTTTCTCCTCTGTGTACTGGACCCTTCCTTTCTCTGTGTGTGTGCTTGCGTGTGTGTATGTGAGTGTGAGAGAGAGAAAGAAGGATGTGGAGCACGGTGTCCTTTTGGACAGAGTCATGTTACAGACGGATGATCTCATTTTGCATAAAATGATCCATTTTGTGCTTTCCCCAAAGCAACCTGTAAACAGTAAAACCACCAGGGCAGGGCTGAGGTGTAACCAGCCCCCTTAAATCACTGAAACTACCCAGCCTCTGCTTTGTGGCCGTTGTTTTGTTTTAATCACTTGTGCGAGATCTCATCATCCTGTTAACATCTAACTTTTTCTCCTCCTCCTCCCCGCAAGCGGATTGCACAATGAACTGGAGGCCAGCTCTCAGCTTGGCCCTGCTGTGGGCAGCGTGGCTAGTGTGTGGCTCTGAGGAGACGGGGAGGCTAGCAGAGAGAGGGAGCCATGGAGCGAGGAAAGCGCCTCTGCCTTACAGGGCTCCGAGCAGCCTCCTGAGAAGGTCTGCAGCATCCCCGAGGAACCTGAGCCCGAATCCCCAACACCCCGTCACCAAGAGGGATTCTTCAGCAGCTCCGAAGGCACCTGCCGGTCTCCTGAAGGAGGAAGCCCGTTCCCACCCCAGGGGCATGGGCACCAGGACAAGACGGATACAGAGACTCACAGCCGCAGCCAAATACTCCAAATCCGAGATGATTAAGGACGAAGGGGTGTCTCCTGCCGCACAGTCACGGGTGGCACGCTTCCCCTCAGGGTCAAGTTCCCCCAATGTCCTGGCCAGCTTTGCTGGGAAAAATCGGGTGTGGGTGATTTCTGCCCCCCACGCCTCAGAAGGCTACTACCGGCTCATGATGAGCCTGCTGAAAAATGATGTCTACTGCGAACTGGCTGAGAGGCACATCCAGCAGATTGTGCTGTTCCACGAAGAAGGGGAAGAAGGGGGGAAAGTCAGGAGGATAACCAACGAAGGAAAAATCCTGGAACAGCCACTGGATCCTGCCCTCATCCCCAAGCTCATGAGCTTCCTGAAACTGGAAAAGGGGAAGTTTGGCATGGTGCTGTTGAAGAAAACGCTGCAGGTGGAGGAAAGGTACCCTTATCCAGTCAGGCTAGAGGCCATGTATGAAGTCATTGACCAGAACCCCATCAGAAAAATTGAGAAGCTGAGGCAGAAGGGCTTCATACAGACTTGCAAAGCGGCTGGGGTGGAGGGCCAGGTGGTTGAGGAAGGCAATAACGGGGGCAGCACCCAACCTACCCCTGGCGGTGGACATGTCCAGGTGCCAGCAAGGAAGGAGGAGCCCAGGAGGAGCAACAACCAGCCGACCAGGACCAAAACCCTGAGGAAACCGATGACGACCACTGTGGCTACTCCTCTGCCCACAGTAAGGACCACCACCCTCCCTACCACCACCACCACCACCAGGGCCACCACCCGCGCAGTGACAACGGCGAGCAGGCCTACGACGACCACCACCCCTCTCCCCACCACGCAGAGGACATGGACCACGAAGTCGCATACGACCACGGAGTACCACAGGCCGCCGGCGGCCCCCGAGAGCACCACGCCGCGCGTCGCGGCCTCTGAGGACTTCTACTCGCCCGTGTGGAAGGGAAACCGCAGGGACCGGCAGAAACAGCCGGTGGCCACGCGGAAACCAAGCAAAGGTGGCCGGCAGGAGAGCTTCACAGAAGTCCCTACGGCCCCCGCGGTGCACTACACGAAGGCAAGCATGAGTCGGTTTAAAGATAACCGAACGGACAGGAAGGACTACAACCACAGGGACCTGAACATCACCCCAGGGCAACACAAGCCAACCAAGACTAAACCGCCAAAGAAGAAGGCCCAGGAAAAGATACTGAGCAATGAATATGAAGATAAATATGACCCCAGCAAGCCTGCTAGTCCCCATTTAGAAGAGGAGATTGCAGTGGGCAACGTTCCTTCAAAGAAAGGAAAAGAGTCAAAGAAGCACGAGCGAATGGATAAACCCGAGAAGAAGAAGAAGAAGGACAAGCTGCAGAAGAGTGAGAAGCAGTCCAGGAAGGACAAAGCTGAGAAAAAGAGCAAGCAGGACAAAGACCGCAGCAAGAAAAGCAAGAAGGGGAGCAGGACAGAGAATGAGGATTTCCCCAAGCCCAACAAGAAGCCTTTCTTACAGCCTCCCAGGAAATCAGTGACCGACCTCCTGGAGTATTTTGAAGGCAAAAGGCGGCTCATTGTAAGTAACTTGTTCATCTGAATCTTATTTCATAAATGAAGTCATGTCTCCCTCCTAGTAGGAAAACGAGGAACAAAAAGTTTACGGTGCTTTCGTATTATTCTTTTTAGTTGAGCCTAAGAAGTCAAATCTCTAGACCTGGAAGATCATTTCCAACAGAGAAGCTTTTGTGGCCTCCTGTTGGAAATCCTATGTACAGTATGAACATATTTCAGACAGGAATTAGGCTAAAACCTTTTCCCAGCCTCTTCCCATAGGCCACCATATAGCCACCAGATTATTTGGTTTCCAATGGATATGTGGGTGTCGGGATCTGTACAGTTATAATCGATGAAACGGAGGTCCAGCGTGGATTACATCCACTCATCGCTTTGGGGTACTGGCCAATGTTACCACATTTCAGCGCTCAGCGCACCCTGCCAGCTGGCACACCTGGTTTGTATTGGTGCTGGTGTCCTAAAACTGGAAGCGAGCCACGTGCACTTGGCAGTACAAGCGCACGGCTGATGGAGAATATGCACAAAGGCATATGAGCAGATGCCCTGAGGTAGGATTGCTACATTTCCCATTATTTCTCATGGGAATTTGGCATTCACATCCCCTAGATATCTTCGGAGATCCCATACAAACCTTATTTTTTTCCCCCCTGCTGTTTTTATTAAACTATAACTCGATGGTAAGCTTTCAAGTCTCAGAAACTCAGCATGGTCTGGAGTTACTTCTCCCAGGGTTTAAGAGTGTTGTATGTTTTTCCAACTACTTATCTAAAAAAACACTTCACCTGGGACAGGAAACAGTTTTAGCTGTAGTACAAATGTTTTTCCTGGCAGATGGCACATACCCTGAAAGGTACACTTTGAAAAATAGTTATTTAAAAATATTATTATAGGAGCTGCTTTCTTGCAATTATTTCACTGCAAGCTGGCCTCTTTGATAATTATTGTCCAGCTGTCAGTGTCACAACATAGTTTTGACTTTGATGCCCCATATTCCCATACAAATAGCTAAGATGCCAAGCCAAGATTTCAACTCCTGGAATTTAATTAATCATTCTGCTGATGATTAACAAACCTGAGTGGAATCCGAATTTTTTCTTCCCCTCCCCATTCTGCCAGCTGTAGGGGCTGTGCAGAGCTAGCAGCTGTGAGGGAAGAGCTATATATTTGAAAAATTTGAACTTGACTGAATTTTGCAAATATTGCCTGTTAGTTACAAGTTAATCAATAGTTAACTAAACCAAAAGCTGAGAGAGAAAAACTGCAAGGAAGTTTGGGATCTTAGCCATGTATCTTAATGTTGTGGCTTCCAAGAATATGTGCAGCATCATGACAAATAAAAACAAATATGAAATATGCCAAGAGCGGAGCTTACAGATGTCAGACTGTGAATTCATTACACCAACACAGTCCTAGAAAGTTAAAGGCTGGTCTGAAATTTGAACCTTCTGATACTAGGCCACCTCTCAGCTGGATCTCCAAGAGAAGAGTTGCACAATCTCAGGCTGTCAGACCAGAACTCACTGGGGAGAAATGATAATACCACGCTACACTTTACTTCTCCAGTATCTAGTGTGACCCTCAGCCTGCTTGCCCTGAAGTTTCTTGAAGGATAGGTTTGATTTGATCAACAGTAAAAGCAGTGGCTGAAGCCTGCCGTCTCTTCCAAAGAGCTTTCCAATACTTTAAATACATATACATGCCTATTTGCATCCCTTCTGATCAAGCTGTTCAGTTCCCTTAGGATAAGTCCTTCCAGCTGGATGATCTTTGCCATTCATGAGTCTTCAAACTCCCTTGCTAAAGAATTAGCCCACAGTGCTCCAGAAGTGCCTCTACCTGAGCTGTTCCCCGTTGCATTGCTATACTATTGTCTTTCAGCCTCTTTATGAGACCGGCTCCTAAGGACAGTGTTTTGGTCCTCTCCCAGTACAAGAGAATTTGGAGAGACACACGCTTTTAAGTCCTACGCATCACTGTGGATTTCAGACTACAGATTTAATTGTGCATTTCAAACACCTAGAGTTTTGAAGGCTAATCCCGGTTAAGTTCAGTTAATGACAGATATAGGACCCGGATACAAAACCTGAAAAAGCATATGGGCTTTGAGCCCTGCAGCCCCACCCCTCTACGTTGTTTTGTTGCTGTTGCAGTCTTACTTATTTTGAGAAGTCTTGGCAGTAGTGACTTTGGTTTTGTTTATTTTTCTGTGGTGATGAAATGCAGGCTGATGGATTAAATATAACACATACCTGCACATATATACACACCCATACGCACATACACACACGCATGCAAATGCAGGTAGATAAAATGTATATATTGCCCGGGTTAAAACAGTCCTGTAACAAAGCTTTGATATGAAATTTGCTTTGCCTCTTAAATGTTCCCTGCTTTATTCTACAAGGCTTGATAAAGCAGCTCTACTTCAGACTTCACTATGTGCTTACGACCACTGAAACTAAGCGGACAATACAAACCAATACTCTGGTTTTAATCTCAGTCCTCAAATCTTTTTCACAATCCTTTGTTTATTTGAAGTATTTCTGTGCAATTTAAATGCAATGTATTACGTGCTATGGCCCAGAAATCAAATCTTCTTTGTGCCCAATTCTTGTTCACTCTCATGTCCCAGTGCTATAGCTATGGCAGGGGGCCTTTCTGTAAACTAGAGTCAGATCTTTTAAGCCCATAAATGCTGCCTACATTTCAGTCCATTGATGAACTGGGTTTATAAGGAGTGTGTCATAAAAATTAACCTTCAGGCACTACAAACTTAAGAGGGTAGCTAGGAGACAACTGCACCTGACATAGACTGAAGCATAAGTTTGTAACTGAAGGATTCTGCTGATTATTTATGACCCAAAACCATAAAATTCAGATTCCACTCCCTTTGTGTTTGGGGAATTGGTGGCAGACACTTGATTGCAGTTCACTAATGCAAGTTAGGATATTTAGGTAGGAGACTGAAATGAATAGAGTACTATAGAGTTATATAAGTATTCATGAAGCCCTAGTTGTATTCGCACTGCGATAGCCAAAATAGCCACAAGAAACTCCCACTGTGAATGAGTGGGGGGAATCCTAGATTTTTTGCACCCCTGAAGCCCTGACAAGGCAAGGGATAATGGGAGGGTACACTGTTTTCTGTAAAACACAGTGCCATTTCCTCTACCAGTATTGTGGAGACACAGGTGAGCCAGTGCCACTAGCTGGCCATGCTTCCTATGGCTCTCCTGGGACTGCCTGGACACCTTTGGGACAGGCCTGGGCCAAAATGTACACTGCAAACACAAGCAAAATAAAGTTACAGAGCAGCCAACGGCTCCATGGAAAACAAATCCCAGTTTGCAGGCAGCGACTAGTTCTCCTTCAGTGAAATAGTCACCTGTTTCATTCCTTATATTAAACAAGCTCTTTTTTCTCTGCCACCAACCAGCTGATCACAACTCCCAAGGCGGACAACAACATGTATGTTCAGCAGCGAGATGAATACCTGGAGAGCTTCTGCAAGATGGCAACGAGGAAAATCTCAGTCATTACAATCTTTGGCACCATGAACAACAGCAGCATGAAAATTGACCACTTCCAGCTAGGTTCCGTCTTTTTTTTTATTAATTTCTTTCCACCTTGTGGGCACAATAGCAGATAGCAAAGGGAGAAATTTCCCCATCTTGGGTCAAGATCTAAGCAAGACTATTTGTTGTGGTATAGCAGCACTTTCAAACCCATTCTTCCTCTTCCATGCTGACTACCCCCACTTCATATTTACGTAAGTGCCTCTGGTATTTTCCATGCTTGGGCTTCCAGTGCTGTAACTTGAGCACCTCCAGCTTTCTTTGTGGGAATTTATAAAAACTGTAGAACAGTCAAACAGTGAAAAGGCCCAAAAATGTGACGAGGGCATGGGACAGAAGGTGGAAGTTAGGCTCAGTTCTACCAATAACTTCAATACCAACCTCACTAACTGAATGGCTGTCCTAACACAACTCCACCATTGGTTTTTGCAGTATCATAGAATCATAGAATCATAGAATATCCTGAGTTGGAAGGGACCCTTAAGGATCATCAAGTCCAACTCTTGACACCGCACAGGTCTACCCAAGTTCAGACCATGTGACTAAGTGCACAGTCCAATCTCTTCTTAAATTCAGTCAGGCTCGGTGCAGTGACCACTTCCCTGGGGAGCCTGTTCCAGTGTGCAACCACTCTCTCTGTGAAGAACTTCCTCCTGATGTCAAGCCTAAACTTCCCCTGCCTCAGCTTAACCCCGTTCCCGCGGGTCCTGTCGCTAGTGTTAATGGAGAAAAGGTCTCCTGCCTCTCGACACCCCCTTACGAGGAAGTTGTAGACTGCGATGAGGTCTCCCCTCAGCCTCCTCTTCTCCAGGCTGAACAGGCCCAGTGCCCTCAGCCGTTCCTCGTACGTCTTCCCCTCCAGGCCTTTCACCATCTTCGTAGCCCTCCTCTGGACACTCTCCAACAGTTTCATGTCCTTTTTATACTGTGGTGCCCAGAACTGCACACAGTACTCGAGGTGAGGCCGCACCAGCGCAGAGTAGAGCGGGTAGAGTATGTTTGACATGGGTGGCCTATAAAGTAAACATACTTGCTAGCATGTTTTAAACACTGTTTAAAGAAACTGGCTATTGTCACGAAGGAGAGGAGGCTGGTGACAGAAGAGGCTGAAGGGAAACGTTTGAGATTATATTCAGAATGGCCCAAGCTAATCCTGTTTTGAATTTCAATATTGTTACCTCCCTGTCCTGCCATGTAACATTTTCTTATGCCTTTTCTCTCCTTACAAAGAGGTGGAAAAAGATTAATTTTGTGGAGGCACACTAAACGCAGGACAGAGAGATGTGTGCTAGGTAGACCCCTTGCAGTGAGTTCTTTTCCTGCCCAGGATCAGCTTCTCTAGGCCTAACAGCTGATTGTGAGATGTTCACAGAGTGAGTATTCTCCACCACAGGAGAGGCCCAGGCACATTTTCCCTTTTCTGCTAGTAAAGAGGTAGGAGATTTCAGCCATAGTCTCTAGGTATGTACAACCTTACAAATTTGCACCAGCATACCTGAATATTTACCATTTAATTGTTTAGCATTTTAATTCCTACAAGCCTCTCTTTACCCTTAAGGCAAGACACCTATGGGTGTGACTGCTAATTGCTGCCTGTCCCAAAGAGGTTAACCTTTGGAGGCACTGTAAATCAGAGTATGCAGGTCTTGCAAAGTAGCTCATTCAGACTTCTCTACTACTGCTTTCTTTACACAGGATGTTCCCATATCTACAGGTGGCACAGAGCATCTATCTCTCTTAGGTAGATGAAAATCTACCTAAGATTACCTGAATCTACCTGAAGATCTTAGGTAGATGTCTTTGAAAACAACTGGTGTCGGTGCTCAGGTCCTGGGGAAACACCCACCAAAACCAGCAAGAGCTTTTCCTTTAATTATGGTGGGGTTTGGACAAAGACTGCAGGTCCAAGTCCAGCAAAGCACTTAAGCTTAGGTATCTCTTGAAGCATGTAAACAGTCCTATTGCTGTCTACATCTAATGGTTAATACCAGCTTAAGTGCTTTGCTGGACCAAAGCAAAGGAATAGTATGAGAACTACTCACTTTGCTTATAATTCGCCACATCTTTCCTCTGGAAGTTTGTTTGGTTTTACCAGACCTTGGGAAGAGATTTGAGATGAAATGAAAAGCTCAGGACCACATGATGCTCCCATCAACCGTCTCTCTCGGGGTATTTCAGGTCTGGCATACGACCAGCCAGAAAATTACCGAACTATGCCTGGCTTCCAGCCATGCCTCCAACATCTCAGAGGGGACCTAATTGGAGAGCAGCAGACTTGTGTCCCTGAACAACAGGGAGTCACATATCCAGCCAGAACGTCCGTTCGTGCACCCCCTTGACAAATCTGGAGTGGCACAGGATTTTCCACATCAGGCCAAGGTTTCTCAAGGTCACTTTTTGTGTACCTAGACCAAGCTGTCTGTCCATGGACTTTTTAGGTTTATATATAGCTCCAGGCTGGCTAATAAACAGGCATGCCCTCTGTCATAGACCATGTCAGAGTGACAGGCCCTTTCAGCCTGTTCCAAACTTAACTTACACCCAAACTTTCCCCAAACCACACAAACGTGTGTAACAGAGGAAATCTCATAGGAGGAATTACCTTGTTAAAGAAAAGCAGGAGACAGCAGGGTATAAGTTAAACCTTACATGAAAACTCACCTTACATTTTTGCTGAGAATGCCTGATCATGAACTTTTAAAAAAGTTTAATTAATGCAAACACCTTTCTAGACCCATAGAAAATACTTTTCACCTGAAATTTCAAATACATTTAGAAACAGTTAGTGAAAGAGCTTATTAATGCTGTTTGGCCTAGATCAGCTCATCCTGAAGCCAAAGAGCATCTCCCAGTTCCCCACTGGAATGACAGAAAAGCTGAGAACTCAGTGCAGAGTTCTCTTCACCCCAAATCGTCCTTTTGGTCTCTTTCCCCAGCTCCTGGGAACTGGGTTTTAGTGAACTAAACAGCAGCCCCAGGCTAGAACACACCCACCCCATAACCAAAGCCAGCACCCAGCCTATTAGACCACTGCACTGCCACGACAAATTGCTGAATCTGCAACCTCGTTTGAACTTTTTTGTAAAGAGTAACTCGTCTTCCCATGTCTAGCTGCTAAAGATGTACAGAGTAAAATTTCTGCTCTTTCAGGGACAGTTCCAGAAACAGCAGAGAAGATTTTGCAGGTGGTATCAGGCAGTCCCAACCCTGTTGTTACTTAGGCTGACCCCACATATCCTTTATGACAGTGAAGGATGGGGACAAGTAATTAATTGGGAAAATATTAGATTTTTTAGTTTAATTTCTTTTTTTCCTCCCCAGAAATCCCTTCCAAGTTTGCAAGGCAAGCCAGTCCATGTGGCTTTTTTCCCCAAAAACATTTTTCTCTGTCATTCTTGTAATTTAATTTTCTTTACACTGTGTTGAAAGACAATCTCCCAACAGTGCAACTTGAGTGCTGTCTTCATGTTGATATCTCCAGTGTTTAAAGCAGAATAATGCCATGGGTCAGTTTGTGTAAAGTACTGCACCACAGTTGTTTTCCATCGTGTTTCACGCTAATTCCTCTTACATTATTCTACCTCCATACAGGCCAATTGGATAACCCTGATTCTGCTTTGGGAGGAATTTGTAGGCATTAATATGAATTTTAGTCTATGTTGTAATAGTCATGCTTGATTCAAGTAAGGTGTAAATCTTGTTTATGAAGCATTGATGCATGATTTACAGATATTTTTAAAACTGAATAACCAATTAGCACATCCAGCAACACATCTCATGTGGGATTTACAACACTGCCTGTAATTCTTTACAAAACTTTCAGCTGAGGTACATAAACCCATGTACAACCATATAAATTATGCCTACAGCATGATTACTTACTATAACCAAATTGCAACATTTGCTGTTTTGTTTCATTTTTCTGTAAGAAGCGGGTCCAAGGTATGAAACCTAAAGGGCAGTTTCTGCTTTGGACGTCTTCCCAAAGATGTAATTCAGAAGCTCCATCCAGCCTCTTACACAGATTAGACCTATTGCAAAACTTGGATCAGATCAATATGCTCCTGGGGCTGTGGATGTTTAGAAAATAGCTTAAAAGTCCCTATTGTTTAATGAGTCAAATATTGTCAAAATATACATATGTTCTTGAAAAAGTATTTTCTGCTGCTGTATGCTCAACTCAGATGTCTGTTTACTGGTGAATAATGGTGGGGCAGGGGATGGGAAAGTTGGGCCTCTGGATCCCAGCTCTTGACCGGCTGTGGTGTCTCTGTTTGACTTCAGGCAGGTCACTTACGCCAGGGCTGGGATTGTTAAGTGTGGATATGAATATTTATAACCCAGAGCTGTCACAGGGCATAAACAAGTAACATTTGCAGACAGCTCTCTGGCCCCCAGGTGACAGGGTGCTTCATTTCACTTTTTGTGTGACTTAGCCTGGCTTTAGCTTACCAGGCACACAGTTTCATACAGAGGCCAGTTCCAGCACTGTCACAGTTGTACAGTGCTGTGCTGGGTGCTGAGCTGACGACATGGAGGCTTTCAGGACTTGGCCCTAATGCACTCTAAGGGAAGTAAGGAACCTCATTACCTCCACAGGCTTGTCTTGTACACGTTTCAAATCTCTGTCATATGTCACACAGCTCTAACTTTACAAATATATACTGAGAATTTCTTTTGGTATTTGCCACCAAATGATGGCAAATCATTTGAAAATGGTGAAATGGGCGAAATTTTGGAGCGATCAGATTAGTGAATTTTCATGTTAAGCATAGGAAAAGAGCCATAAAGTTTTGAGTTAAAAATCTTTTCAAATATTTGGTTCTTATCCATCTGAACAACTTGGAGATTTAATAACTCTGTAATTTTCAAAATGAAATTACAGTCTGCTTTTTTTCCAAGCCTGTCCGAATGTTTTCTTAGGGTAGAGCAACGAGTATATACAAAATCATTGTCAAAATTATGTTTTTTCCCATTAGGATACTAGAATGGGAAATTAACATCGGCAAGCAGTTGGAGGAGTGCCACAGCAGGGTATTTGTGGAGACCTAAAGAGCTAGAGCTGCAGTATTCAAGATACATAAAACATTTTCTGGTTTCTTGTAGTCACTAAACATCCCGTCATTTTTTAAGACTGGAAGAGTCCTGGCCAACTTTAAGCTGTTCTAACTATATTTTACTGACCCAAATTCTCTATGCTGTTTCATTTGGATGTGGTGCTTTCCAGCTTCTGTCCTAAACTGTCAAACAGTTTCTATTTTCTACTGCAGAAGTGGCTGCATTTCAGGAGCTGGAGAAATGATTAACACATGCATATAAATGTATAAATACATCTAAAACATCTTACCAGAAAAGAGCAGGCAACTAACATTTTTCAAAAGTAGAAAAGCTGAATGCTGTAACACATATGCCCTAGGGAAAACTGATTTTCTGACAATACTGGGATTAAAACCTGGCAGCTAAAAGCCACAGTGCCATAGTGGTGGTTTTGAAGTTCTTGCCAGGGCAGTGGGAAGAGGGCTTCTGGAAGATGAATCTCCCCCTTTCTTTCAAGGTGAAATCGAAGTCAGCATGCTGTGCACTTCCATGACTATTTTTATTTCTCCTGTTTTGTATTAAGATAATGAAAAGCCTATGAAAGTGATAGAAGATGAAGATCTTGTGGATCAGCAGCTTATCAGTGAGCTGAGGAAAGAGTATGGGATGACCTACAATGACTTCTTCATGGTGCTGACGGACACTGACATGAAAGTCAAGGTGAGGGTTTTGACTTTTGGAAAGAAAAGGCGTTAGAAAATATGAAAATAAAATACAGGAAATTATAGGCTTGCATGTCAGGCACATAACTGAGTGATGCAGAACTTTGTCATCGCTGGGCGACAAGAGAAAGGACAGTAAGAGAAATTTTCAGGAATCAGCTGCCTTTGTGTTCTGCAGATGAGAGATTTCAGGATTTGTGGTTTTCTGCTGGGATGGTGAGTCGACACCACAAGGACAGGCTAGGAGTCTCTGGCATGGGGGTTTAATGCAGTATGTGGTGTCCTAAAACAGCATGGTTGCTCAACAAGATGACAACATATTGTATATGGACAATGCTCTAGTTGAAGGGCCCTACAAAAGAATATATTGACAATTTGTTGCCTGCAATGGCCTGCCCTTATCACATTGGACAAGTACTCACAATATGTCACTTTCAAAGAAGAGTCTGACTGCTAAAATAAGAGTATTTCCATGATTTATAACGTGTTCTAGGCCTTGTTACCTGTTTGTAAATGGGGATATCCTGCTGTGGTGTGATACATGCAAAATGACTGCTACTCTGTGCATCCTTTCTCCATTTGTTCTTCTTGCTTAACAGCAATACTATGAAGTACCCATAGCAATGAAGTCCGTGTTTGATTTGATCGACACCTTCCAGTCAAGAATTAAAGACATGGAAAGACAGAAAAAAGAGGGCATTGTCTGCAAAGAAGATAAAAAGCAATCCCTTGAGAGCTTCTTATCCAGGTATTACCTTCTGCTCTTATCTGCTATTAGTTCCAATTTCTGTTTTACTGGAAAAATACCTATCCAACTACTTTTACAATTTTTAATATAGATTTCTCCATATTAACAGCATTAAGCAAGTACGGAGATGCAGCCACAGCACAATGCACTCTTGCACAGAGCACTAGAAGTCAGTATGCACATTGTATTTCCTGACTGACTGCACATTTTTTGGATGCTAACTTTCTATATCTTGCTTCCCCCACCATGACATGGAGATAATAGCACTGATTTGCATTAGAATGGCAAATAAGGATTAATTCACAGATGTCAGCTCAGTGTTTTGAATGAAGCACAGTGTTGATATTTCAACCATTAACCACGACAATCACATTAATCCCATTCTAATCCCTTCCATGGAGCTTGAATCAGTAATTAATTCTCTGTAACTTCCTTCTTATCCAGCTTGAGATAACAGTTGGTCTTTGCCAGTATTAGTCATATATAGTATTAAAGGTCTTGCAGATGTCTCTTGTAAAATGTCTGAGGCCTTCTGTAGCAAGACAGTTTTGTTTATGCAGTCTCTATATGCTGTGTTACTGCTCTACCTGTGAAACCTAAATACTGGGAAATAAACATGTCTGGACTGTGGAAAGATTCAGATCCAAAGAACAGCTGTACAGCTATGGCCCTCTCTGTTAAAGGGTAATTTACATAAAATTTGGGCTACCTCATCACTGCAGGCTTTACCTGCTACTACTGCATCCTCCTCACCTAATATCAAAATCCTTGGGGGGTACACTTTTAATGCCAGCTGGCTATGCAAATAATCGAGACAGTACGATGTGGTACGACTTGAGGGCGAATGGAGCAACAGGCAAATGAATAGGTTGTTGGTTCATAAACATTTTAAAATTCGATGGCCACTTCAATGAAAAGAGAACATTTAAGATGTACCCCACCCGCCTCACCACCTCCTGTTTAGGTCTCAGTGATTCATCTTCAAGACCACCAAGAAGAACCACAGTTTGGAAACAGCTGCCCAACACAAGAAAGGGCTTGTATGCTGGGAAGTGGCAGCTCCCAAACCCTTCTTAGCTTGCAAACAGCCCTGGTAATAAACACGCTAGAAAAACAGGCAGGAAAAATGCAGAGTGGTACATCTATAAACAGAACTGCCACCACACAGAATACATCTGCTGTCTGTGAAATAGGCATCAAGTAGCGGGTGGACTTCACTAGCCACGATAACTGGCCAGATTCCCAGCAAGATTCATTCCAGCTTTGTCCAAGATTATCTTTCTGATATTTTCTGATTATTATTCTGATTTATGCCCTAGACAAAATGTGATCCAATGTTTGCAGTCTCAGTCCTTGTTTATAGACAGACAGGTGTTTTTGCTGTACAAAATACCACAAAGATTTTTTCACATACTTTCAAAATAATAAGAAAATTTCTGTCTTTTCTTCACATAACATATATGACTCTTAATGCTCCTCATTCCTATTCACATATACGCATGCCCATGTTTCTTACTTGTTCCTCCTGGACAAGATTAAAATTTGCTTTTTCAAGCATTTGCTTTTTTAATTATAAAAATACAAGCATCATCAATCAGTCAACAAGACAAAATATTAGTCAGGAGCATCCTCTGCTCTTTCAGTAAATTTATTCTATGACTTTGAGCAAGTCCCACCTTATTTCCTGCTTCTCTCAAGTGGAACAGTGTTGATCCATTGCATTAGCCTTTATTTTGAGATCTTCATTTGGTGCTGTGGAAAGGCAGGCTATTATTGTAACAGGGTAACATCTGCATCCATTTAAAACATCATTTCCTGCTATAAAAATATCCCCGCAGCTTTGCAAATTCCTATAAATCTGATTTATTTAGGTTTAGTGGAGAAGTACCTTGATTCAAAAAAGGGGTTGTTTGGAGAATATTAAATAACTCTGTAGTTAGAATTTTTAAAGGCTTCAAGTGTCCCTGTGGCATCACTTTCCTTTGAGAGTGAAGGTGATACTCAGCGCACAAGTTTGGTTAGATGAGACATCCCAGATTAAAGGAAAATATTGCCCTATGGATGCCTTATATACTCACAGGCTCATACTGCCACATATATGTAAACAAGCTTAGATTTAAAAACACACTAAAGGTATTTCGAGTGAATGTGGTAAAGAAGAAAAAGAGGTCAGTGACTATTTACACAGAAGTATGAGTTATGTCTGAAATGAAGATACACCCTAATTCCCAGACAACCCTTGGACTGCAAAATCACTGAGCAGTTCCAGGAGCAGCGAATGACATAAAAGCTAAAGTGTCTAGTGAGAAATTCTACAGCAATCTTTTTTGCACTTGAATACACAATTCTCAGCAGTGTTATATCTACCGAAGGTGGCTTAGAGCAAAGATCAGAAGCTTTGCGGTGTTTGTTTGGCCAAACTGCAGAAAAACTGCAGATTCTTTGAGTACTGGAGCTGTAAAATTTCAAACAGGCTTTATCCTCTCCCAGTGATGGATGAAGCTGGGAAGATCTCCCACCCAGCTGTTACTCAGAAGCTGCGAGAGATCTCACATATCTCAGCCCACACAGCACAGGAAGGCGTTGTGATGGTTCCCTGTTGCCCTCCTTTCTCTTTCCAGGTTCCGCTGGAGGAGGCGGCTTGTGGTGATTTCTGCTCCCAGTGATGAGGACTGGGCTTACTCCCAGCAGCTCGCTGCTCTCAGCGGACAGGCCTGTAATTTTGGTGAGTCAAAGGAAATAATATTCTTGCTCCCCAAAACCACATCCTTTCTGGTGATGTGATGGATTCCTTTGCTCAAGTCTGACACTAGACAATCCGAGGAGTCCGACAACTGGAAAGTTTGCTGTAGCTACTCCAAATATAACTGGAAAATACTGTGCTAAGCAGGTAGCACAGTGCTCTCTGACAGCTAACACCACTAAACCAAGTGTTCCCTGGAATCCTTTGGGTGAAGCAGAAAGGTGAGCGCTCTGAAGCTTCTCTTCAGGCTTACAGTTCAGAAAATCAGTGACACAACCACTTCAGCTTGCAGTATCTTCTTACTGAACAAATAAATGATGCAATGCTTTGAGATCCTTTGCAGATCCCTGGTAGCCATCTCAGACCTAGGTCAGGTACTAGGGAGATGCGTGGATGTCAGCTGTTTTGTGTTGTTGTTTTGTTGTGTTTTTTTTTTCTGTCCTGCTCCATTTCTTAAACCTGTAAAAAATCTTAATGGAAGCTACTTCAACCCAGTAACAATCTTTCCAGCCCTCTAACCAGGTACTTAAGATCCAGCTCCATGGTCAGTGGAGAGACAGAATGAAACGTCCTATCCCAAAGCTATTACTTCAACACATTCCACTTATGCCCTAAGAGAGGTTTGCACAGTGTTACTGCTACGCTGTCTGTTCATTCGTAATCACCTGGCTTCCATTTGGAGTTTCAGCATCATCTGATTTAGTAGCTACCCATGTAAACTGTGTCATGGACCACCAGTAAAATGCTTTCTGAAGAGCAGAACATGACATTAACAGTTAATTCCATCCGCCCTTTGCTAAGGACAGCCTGAAAGAGATCCAGTGAGTTGCTGAAGCATTTGTTCTCAATGGTTTTTCCTAACCAAGTGATGTTCCTAAGCATTTTATCTCCAAGTTGTAAAAACAGTTACAGAAGACTTTGTAGATCATATAGACTCTTACTTCATGAGCAGTTTCTATGGTCCCTAAGGTCTTCAAAGCAGAGGCAGCAGTCCAAGCCTTGCTCAGAACAAATGAAAGAAGTGAATGCCTGTCCTAAGCCATTCACTGCAGTGATCCTGTGGTGATTATATTGCCTCTAAGTACTTTCCTGCTGTGTGGATGACAAGTAAGAACTTTACCGGTGAACAAAACAGTGCTGAGACATTCTGAATTTGGGGGTGGCTGCTGCAGTTTACTTGTATGTCTAATGTTTGTATCCCTATGGTACTGAACGACATCAAGTGCTGTTGTCCTTGGGATGAGCAACTCTTTTTCATGGAGGACTGCTGAGACTGGCTCCTAATTCAGCAAGCATAAACCTGGCTGATTAAACTGAAATCTGCCCAAGAATGTGCATAAAGATTGGGTCTCACTCAGTATCTCCTTAATTTCCTCCACAGGTCTACGGCATATAACTATCCTCAAATTGCTAGGAGTTGGAGAAGATATTGGCGGTGTCTTAGAGTTGTATCCAATTAATGGTAAGTGACCGTTTCCAGTTTCTTCAGTATGACCCATGAAGAGCATTATGCTCTTTAAGTGTGTTTTTTTTTGCTGTGATTTCTTTAGAGGGATGGATATGACTAGGATTACATTTTTTTTTCTTTTTTTCCCGAAACAAACAAACAACAAAGAAGGCACACAAGCAAACAAGCTTTCTTGGCACAACTGTGCTAAATATTATATAGAATATTTTCAGAATAGAAAAGCCCAAAGATGATCTGGAAAGCATCTCATATCTTTGTCTTACCTAAACATACAATCACAGGTATAATCTTCTGCCTGCACTGCTGTTAATGACAAAGAAACGTTCATGCACAAACATTTGATCATGTTCATGATCATGAGCTCTCAGAGCTTATAGAACATATACCTAACACATTCTCATTTATGGGTCCATCGTTAATCTTCCTATGTGTTTGCATCCCAGCAGGCTAATTCAGGCGGCTATTCTTAGGAGAACCCTCTGTCAGGACAATTTCAGGGTACATTTCAAAGGCAATGGTTTCCTCTACTACCTAATCCCAACGACTACCTATCAGTGAAGATATGAGGGCAAGAAGCAACTTATTCATTCCATTGCTATTTTCACAGTGCTGTACATGAAAGCATCTCAGTCCTCCTAGCCCCATACAGATACAAGTCCAGGCCTAAGAAAGAGTAAGAATAGAGAAAGCAGATATGATACTTCTTTCTTCAACACCTTTGTATTCATTTACTTTTCACTAAAAAACTTCATGATCTTAGTCCTACATGCTAAGCAACCCCTTCCCCCCCATCTCATCAATGTACTTTCCTAACCTCCCTTTGAATTCACCTTTGAATTCTCCCTTTGAATACCACCTACACCTACCTGCAAAAGCTCTGCAGATGTGCAAGGCACCTTTTATTTGAAATGAACATGACCCTCTCTGCAGTGGCATTCACAGTTCTGTAGACCTTCACCCAGCCTGTTTGTTTTACGGACTAGAGTCTTGACTGACTTGGTCCTTTCTCATACAGTATATCCAAGCCTATGATTATCCTTACTGCCTTTCTTTGATTTTTTTTTCCCAGTTATTCGAGGTTAGAGAATCAGAATTGTGTGCAGTGTTCAAGATGGACACAAGCAATACGTTTTAATGATAGTCTCTCTTCTTTTTTGTATTATTTTCCTTATAGTTTCTAATATCTGTTTTGGCTTTTGGCAATTAGTGAGCAGTGAGCAAGCCTTTCAAGGAACTGCCTTTCATAACCCTGCTCTCTTTTAGAACAGCACTAGTCCCAGCACATGCAACTATGAACTTCACTGGTTACCTCCCTCCATAGCAGAAAATGATTATACATTATTCCTACCTTGTTTCTGCCTTCCAACCATATTATCAAAGATTCTTTTGAAGTCTTCTGGAAATCTGCATTGCTGATACACAGCCAAACTACTTTTAGCTATCTGATTGCTGACCTCCTTTGGGGACCCTCAACAAGTTTGTAAGCACAAAGCCACTTCATAAGAGACTTGCTACTAAGCCAACTTTCTCAGGTTTCTTTCATAGGTGTCCACTGATTCTAATTGTCTTATACTTTCTACCTGCTTCATGTTTAAAAGCCCAGAGTTTACCAAATCTACACCAGAACACATGTTTTTAAAGTGGGCATGGCATCTGCCACATCCCATAATTCACACATAATTCCAGTTCAAGACTGAAGCTCCATGCTAACATAAATGACTCAGAGAATTTATCCTGCAATTCTCCATACAATCACGTTTCTATTCCCATGGTTTCTTTCAGCGTGACTGTTTTTGACGTATGCCTTCTGCATACATGAACTGGGACTCAAGCCACATGGGATTCAAAGATATACAAGTGTGTTGGGTGAGGAAAAGGTGTGCCACACCACAGCAGCTTCAGCCTAGAGGAAAAAGACAAATTTACTAACCCTAACAAAACTGTTAAAAATACAGCTTTGGTTTCTGTGCAGCAGCCTTATGTTTCAGAACCAGGAAATCCTAAGCTGCAAATAAGAATCTTACATTGCCAGCTATTGGACTGTATCCTATCTCACCACTGCAAATTCACTGAGCTACTAAAAAGCATCACTGTTGCCTAACCAAAATGTCAACACTGTTTTATGTAATCCCTTTTTTAGGAAGCTCTACTGTAGACCGAGAAGACATTCCAGCTAATTTGGTGAAAGACATCCGAAATTACTTCCAAATTAGCCCAGAATATTTCTCCATGCTTCTAGTCGGGAAGGATGGGAACGTCAAATCCTGGTATCCTTCTCCAATGTGGTCCATGGCAATCGTGTACGACCTGATCGACTCCATGCAGCTTCGGCGACAGGAGATGACAATTCAGCAATCGCTCGGCATGCAGTGCCCAGACGACGAGTATGGTGGGTATGGTTACCATAGCTATCACCAGGGATACCAGGAAGGTTATCAAGATGACTACCGGCACCATGGAAGTTACCACCATGGATACCCGTACTGAAAAGAGCAACTTAGCCTCTGACCGCCCCGTGCCTGTCTTCTAATAGCTATCCAAGCAATAGGTGGCCAGTTGCTGAAAGTTCTTCCAGGCCACCTAGATATCCATGCCTCCTCCTTCCACTGTTCAGTCAAGGGACTCTGGTCATTTGCCTTCTCAAAAATGCAGAAGCCTTTACAGTGAAGCAACTCAAACCAGTAGTATTGAAGCTTTAAACAATAAAGACTCCTTTATATTTTTAATCCTTTATAAACAAAGGGCATCAGCAGTTGCTGTTTGTTTGTATTAAAACCAAACAAAATGTCCCCGCAGCCTCAGTCCATGGACAATACTACAGGGCAGGAGACAAACTGTCCAACAAATACTGCAATGCTCTTTGTAATATTTTTTCTAAGGAGAAAAAAAAATATTTATTGGAAAGTGAGAATTTTGCATTATGCTGATGAAGACAAGCAAAGAATCACACTGCAGGACTTTCCCCAAAAAAGGAAATGTTAAGGAAGTAGCATGTGGCAGGTTCTTTAATAATAAAACTTCTTTTGAAATAGCTTGTCTGAAAAGACAGCAACCCTCCTACGATGCATCAGCATTGTAGTTAGCTGATTTTGCCAATGAAAGTAAGAATTTATGGCTATGGCAGGACTCATTCCAATACAATACAATGTAAAGTTCTCTTAATCTCAAAGCTTGCTGCATGGCCATTAATTCTTCTAATTGGGGTTCCTGTTCTTTTAGGTCCTGCCTACCTGGCAGTTAATGAGAGCTAAGTGAAAACACCAACCATACAGTATTGTCTAAAATACAGAAAACTGAAAAGTGTTATTTTCCATCAGAAAAAAAAAAAGAAAACATTCTCATTCACATATTTCAAACGAGTTGTAACTAGCTCTCTATAGTAATGTTCTTCAGTAAACTATTGCTCTAAACTTCAGATTTCTTTCTACCTCTTCTCGTACCCTCCCCCATAAAAAAAAAAATCTGGACTAAATGTTTATAGAATTGTTTGGGTATAATTTGATTTGCTACTAAACCATCTGTATTTCTGCCATGTCTTCTGGAATGGTTTCCTTCTCCCTGGTGCCTTTGGGCATTGGATCTGTTGCACCATGCTACTCCGCTGCAATCAGCTGCAGGAACTCCATGCACAGCCATGCCTCCAATACCATTTTGGTTAGATTTCTAAAACTTAAAAACCCAGCAGCATGATTAAGCACTATCTTGAAATGACGGCATCATGCAAACCTTCACAGTGGCACAGCGGTCACTTCTGTTTCAGACACACCTGACCATGCACATTTCATTTTTATAATCTGTGACATAGGTGCACATGTCATGTACGGACGCACCCCTCATGCATATGGGCAACAGGTCACTCAGTTGGTTCTGTCATCACAGCAAAAACACTGGAACATGTACATACTACAACTCAAAATTGGCCAGAGCATGCTCCACAATGTGACATTTATCATTTTACTGTTCCTTTTTTTTTTTTTCCCCTCTCCTTTGCTTTTTTCAGTTGTGAGGTAGTTTGATTTTTTTTTTTTAATTTTATTTTTGAGGGGTGGGGGTAGCAAAATGACACCAAAATGGGTAAAGCAACAGGTTCACCCAAAAGCAGACACTTTCCTCAGGAACTTGGTCATAAGAAGTCAGACCCTGCTTGCCTTTTGTAATGTCAGAGAGGCAGACAGATGTCAAGGGGTCACAGGACCGTGTCACTTCTTCCTTGGCAGTACAAAGTCACCCTCCATGCCACCAGGTCTAGGCAGCACAAGAGACAGTTCATCTTACCCCTCTCAGGTTCGTGACTGGAGCTAACTGGGGGAAGGCAGGCTTTTGACAGACCCATTTTGAGAGGACTGCTGCCTGCAGAGTGCTTCCAAGCATTCCTTTGTTTACAGCACTTCCACAGCTGAAAGCAGTGGACAGGGAAATTAAGAAAGAAATTAAGAGGAGTGAAAAAAAGAATCACAGAACCAAAAGGTTTCCAGAAGAAAGATCAAGTCCCATAGGGTAGCTTCAGAAAACAAGTACTTACTGTATCAGTGTGTTAAGGTCAGCTGCCTAATTATTTTTGCCTAAAGCAAAAGCAGAGGAAGAAGTACCTAACAGTCACCTCCTGTAAACAAAAGGACGAACTCCTCTGTATTTTCTTTCAGGTGTTCATTTCAACTTTCCTGTAATCTTGTTTTTCCACACGAAGTACTTAAATGAAAGCCCTTTTAATTCACATTACAAAACATCAAACCTAAATATCCTGTGCTGAGCAGGAGGAGGAGACAGTTAACTAACAAAACAGAGAGCAATGCTTAATCCAAATGGCCTTTTTTTTTTTTTTTGAATATTTATAAAATTTGCAGAAGACTCGTTATGATTCTGGTGCTGATTTCTGCCTTCATTACAAACCATCTCAAAATTCCTAGGAATTTTTAGCAATGGTTTAAAATCCTTACTTTGCAACCTACCTCTCACTATGGAGAACTAAAAGCAAGGCTTGAAGGAAAAAAAAATGTTTTCAACAATGTATAGTTCTGTTGAAGACTACACGCATCAGGGAGCTACACTACTCCAAACACAAATCAGATCCAAAGTACTGGATCTGCCCCTGCAGCATCACTCTGAGCACAGGTTTATTGAGATTAACTACTTCCATAGTTCTGAGCGGGCAGGTTCCACACAATGAGGAAAATTTCAAAACTTTTTTCTCATACATATTTCTGGGATTTGATTCAGCTGAAAGACAGCTGTTTTCATCCTCAGGCTGTCTTTCAAGCACGATGGCTCAGTTTTTACATTCACAAAGTAGATGAAATTAAACAAAATAAAAATCACTTTAACTGGCTTGTTATAAACAAGAGAAACATAGAGAGACCTCTTCCCAAGAGGTTTTATGAACTAATTCCTCAGATCTGTGGGAGGAACATAACATTTTCAGCAGCTATTAAATTCAAACATTTGTGAATCTGGGTTTTAACTCACAGTGTAGAAGGAACTCTCTGCCCAATGCTTTCATTAAAGATTATGTGCCAAAGTAATGTTGGTCTCCAAAAAACTTCATCATAAAAACCCCTATTACCATTTGAAAAGAAAAATAGTAAGCTTTCTGACAGAGTAGGTGAGCAACTATACAATGGAAATATTTAACCACTGTTACTGCAGTAGGATTCACATGATCTATTCGCAAGGTATAGCTCTACAGAACAGCCCCCCCTTGCTGACCAGAGCTGTTTTCCAGCTGACTGTGGTTTGTAGTCACTTCCTCTAACAAATCTCATATACATGCTAAATTTGACCATTGCCATGGACCGCATGGCTGCATAGAACTGCATGGTTATATTTTTGGGTTACTTACTTTTTATTGCTAAGTTTATGCTAAGTCCTTACCCATTTTTAGACAGCTGTTAATGTTCCTGTTGCTGTATAGGGGATATACAGTTCTCCTCCATTATTAAAAGAAACCTGCCTGGCCAATCCAACTGAATGCCTCCAAGACCTCCAACCTGTTCACCTGAAGACAACAGAAAGGTTTCTACATGTTAGATAGGATCTAACTCTACAAGGAAAGTAAATGCTTCCATAGACCTCCATAGTTATATTCCTGTTATCTTTGTGAAATCTGAGACTTTAGCAAAACAAGTCAATCATGACATCATGCTTGTGATGGAAGTTATTAAAATGAAATTTATAGAGGGTAAAACTGACTAAGCAGGACAAGAGCTGAAAGCAAGTCTAAATATACTTTATAACATTTGCAGATCAATAATTTCCAGCTCTTATTTCTCTTAAGGCATACATTTCATGGCAGGAAAGTCAAGAAAATGTTTAAAGATACTCATCTTTGGTTTGATGCTCTATCATTTGAGGTATGAGGCTAATTTTTATGTTCTGACTTAAGGCAAGGCAAAGCTGCCTGCAAAAGGTGATGTAAAAAGCTACCACTAGTAATGCAAAGCAATCTAAAACTAACAGTGCTTTCACTTTTCATGGGAATGTCTGCTAAAGTTGGTAGCTGTGACTGAAAAAGACAATGAATTCAGGCAAGTATATACTGCAAACCTGTATGTAATGGAAAAAAAAGAAACCATCTTACTGCAACTAAGTCTTGAACAGTTTGAACTTTTTTTTTTTTGCATTGAAGTTTCATTTCCCAAAATAGAATATTACACACCAACAAAACTCATGTTTCTGGAATTTACATTCAAATATGCTTTCTTATTCATTCTGTACAAATCCAAACAACCAGGATTCCTTTTGATGAAATGAGCTACCATGGTAGCACAACAAGATCAGCTGTAAGACATTTTTCAGCTCAACATATTTACAAGGTTAGCTCATATAATCAAACCACAACAGTAATTTCACTTTGTGTAATTCTTAATACATGCTAGAAAAAGTTCATACTCCCAAAAAAAAAAAAAAAAGATGGAAGAAATCAGAATAAGAATTTCACATGCGTGGTTTATAACTTGACAGTCATCGGCCACAACTGGAAACAGGCTGCCCTGCTTGATGGATCAGTGACAGGAGGTATGTTAATTAATATAGCAATGAGCCATCAAGACAGTATGCGTAAGTAGGCACACAGAGCCTGGAAAAAGGATGGCAGAGGGGAACAAAGGCAGAACTGTCTTCAGTCCACAGAGAAATGCATCAGTAATTGATTAAGATACGCTGTGGTATGAGGCTCTGACACTGAACTCATTGCATACCTTCATAAGAATTCCTTCGACAGATATCTTTCCATTATCAAAGCCTTGTTTTTGACTGTTCCCTTCATCCTCCAACTTTTAAAATTCCTTGAATTATTTTGAACCCATTTTTCATCTCACTGAAAATACAATCCAGCAGACTCCTCAACAGTGATTCTGAGTTCACCGTGCCTGACATTCCGCAGAATGATTTTGCTCTCTGCAAAAATGAATGCAAACTCTTATCAGTCTGAGTTGTCAGAGCAACAACAAATGGTATCAACACCTGCACCCTCCTGCTCAGTGTTCCAGATATTGCAGGGCATCGTTGCAGCTGCATAACATCCGTTTTCAGATAGTGGCCCCAGTGCAAAATCAGTCTCTCCACACACCTTTTCTAAATGCAATAAAGACCCCTATGATACATTCATACCAAATAACACGCTTTTGTTTTATTCAGGATCTTTCAAAGTGAAGCCACATAAGTTGCCATTAAAATCTACTATTTTCTACAAAGGCATTCCAAATTTCAGTTCCCCCAGACATTTGGGAGACAGGCACACACAAGTCTCATACTGGAAATGTGAGAGTGAAATTTGCTTCAGTCACATCAGAGAATCAGAAAGGACTCCACAGGAGCCAGTACGGAGTTACACTGGTGTAAAACAGGAATGAAAACAGAATTAAGACCATTCAAACTGGAAAAGATTCTCCTAGATTACGAACATGTTGATCCTTCAGACAAATTATCTGATTATTATACATTCTCAGGTCAAGGTTTGATGAGATTGGTTCAGGGGGACTCTCTTACTCAGCAAGGGATATTTCAATGTGAATCACCAAAATACAGTAAAACAGTCAATTCGCCTCTTATTTATGAGGTTATTAGTAACATCTTAAGCCCTGAAAAGAAAACTTAATGAAGCATTTTTACACTGGAAGATGCCAATCAACCCTTATATCACTTCTGCAACGTGGACAAGTTTTATCCATCTCTGCTTTGCTAACCAAGGAATTCATACAGGAGCTTGTGCAGTGACTCAGGACAGTCAACCTGAAGTGATGAAAGACATATGGTTAGAGTCCAGGACTGCCCTCCAATGCAGCATGTCACCCAGACAACTGTGTCCAGGGTCCAAGCCTCTTCTTGTCCACTTCAGGTATAAACTCTGTTTATTTCAGCAGATTTTGAACTCCTAATTTGCACAGATGGAAAGAGGGAAAACAGCTCTCAAAAATAAATGGCTCAAATTAAGAGCTTGAATGTTTTCCTCATCCATCTCTGACATCCGGACCCAAAGTAGTCTCAATTGTTCTGCAAATGGGAAAAAAGGACCCTTCGCTATGTCAAGGAAACATTAACATTCTCTCACTATGAGTAATAGCATTCCTCTTAGCCAGCTCCACGCTAGAGCGAATCTTCATCTGTATCGATGTCACTGCTTGGTTTGTTCAGTCTCTCAAATTCTTCTCCATCCTACAGGAATAAGAAGAGAACAATGTGAGCAAAAGACATCTTGTTATTGATACATAGAAAGAGGAAGAGAAAGAGAGAAAGAAAAGAAGAAAGGTTATTTATGGTATCTCTGTGATATTAACACCCAGTAATTTACATGTTTTACCAGTATGTTAAAATCTTCCTCTAACATATACATGTTCCTAAGAAACATCTCGTTCATCTTTAATACTTCTTAGTGACTTGTCTCTAAACAGCTTGTAGCCTATCCATTCATCAGGAAACTTGCTCACGTAGCACTCTTTGTTTTTATCACAGATGCTCAATTGTAAATGCTAAAATAGATAATGCCAGCTACCCCAAAAAATACATCCGTATTATTTACTGCTCGTTAAACAACAGTATAAAAGGGTACCATGTAGAAGTTCTTGAAAACATCTCTACCAAGTTTAATTTTTTCTAGAAATAAATGGAGACAGCACTCTCTGCTGGTTGCATCATGTGTAACAGAGCAGATCTGTACATGCAGAACACACAGACATTAGCTCCTTCCCACTCTAACTAATTTCTCAGCTCAATTAAATGAGCTGAGCCTAAAGGCAAGCCCTCTGTGTCATGTTCTAGTTGTTTACATTACTATTCAAATTAAGGCAAAAAAAAAGTACCTGCAGAAAATGTTGTGTATGAAAAAAATCATGTTAAAATGTCTTCAGATATCTTTTGACTTTTGCAGTATGAAGAATCTTAACAAATATATTAATTTCTTTATGCTACACAAAGATTTATCAGTTCTACTTAAGTACAGTTAGTTCCCAGGAGTCAGTTCCAACTTCTGTATGCCTAGGGCCAGTGGACAAATGTATCTGGTCAAAGAAGTTGCAAAAGAGGATTTGTATAAAAGTTGCTGAAGTTGCTCACAGCACTGTCTGTAGTCACGGCAGAAAAGCAACACTTACCTGAGCTTCATGAATTTAAAAAGTGGAATACACAAAAAAAATTCCCAACAATTTTAAAGATTTATGAGTCTGGTCACATGCATAACAAATCTTCCAAATATGCCATGGTGGAAATGGAGGTGAAACAATGGAGAAACCAGAGAAGAGAAGTACTGAAAAGCCTTACCCCACTTGACCTCTCCCACGTGTCTCCTTTGAAGAGCTTGCCCCTTTCCCGCGGAGTGACAAATTCCAGGCCTCTTGGTTTACTGGCATTATAGATGAATATGGAAAGAAGCACCACAGGAGCTTCCAAAAAGAATTCTAAAGAAGGCCTGAAGTCAAAAATGACGAAAGACACTGTGGTGATGATGACAGTGGTGATCTGAGCAGTCATAACATGGAACATGTTGTCTCGGAACTTCAAGATGAAGGCTACGGACAGCCCCAGGAAAGCTGTGACAAATATAAGAGTCACTGAGAAGACGTTGTGCCCATAAAAGAAGCCGCAGTTCCCTATCTGCCTCCGGTCCTTGGCCTGCAGACCCAGCATCAGCCCATTGAACAGCACCCCGAAGGCATACAGTTTGCTGTTCTGCGTGAAGATGCTTTCACCAAGCTGGTCCCCGTCTTTCAAGATCTTTTCGTTGTAGATGTTAGCCAGGGCAGATATGAAGCACTGCACTAGAATAAGCAGATGTCCCAGACTGAGGCGGAGAGGTTTCAGTGCTCCTGCCATGGTGCTGGTGACGTTCCACTGGAAGCTGGGAAGGAAGCTGGGTGCTCCGCAGTTGCCCTTTTCAACACACGGTTCCTCAGGTCCCGTATAAAGAAGGCAGTGGTTAGATGGACTGAAAAACATATTGTGATGGAATCCGTGTACAGCCAAGCTTTGCTGATGGCCTCCAGTTCCCAGAGTCAGGGCAACGATGGACAGGAATAAGATGACCAGAGATGCCCACTGTACCCAAGAGAGTTTTCGCCTAGGAGCAGACAAAAAAGCCACTAACTTTAGAAACACAGCGGCACAAACTAAACAACAAGAGAACGAGCTCTAAAAAACACAGAAAAGACATCATGCCACAGGTAAGGAGATGCAGACAAGTACAAAGAAACATCTTGGGTTTTCGTAATTGACAGGAAAATGTGAAAACGTAGGGTTCTTTTCTGTGGCAAGTAGACCCCAGCCTTGTGATCACAGAAACACAAAAGGGAGAACACACAAAGTGCAGAGATAATTTAAGGGAAGTCTTTCAAGATGGTAGTTCTAGATGCCAAACACCTGACCACTAAAAGCAACTCTTGTCTCCGTGAACACAGAACACAGGTTTGATGAATTCAAAGAAAGTCAGACGTTCAAATAATTCTCTTTCTCTGGGAAACCTTCACAACATTTCACTTTTCCCCCATGATTTTGTGCACCTTTCTAATATTTTCTGATGATAGGAATGCAATTTAGAAGACCTAACAGTCTTAGCTATTTTACACTTTTTCACCCTGTGAAAAAGGAAACCCTGTTTATTGTGTGAAAAAAAATCAGAATTTTTGAAGATTAAGCAAATGGTGACATCTTGAGATGTAAATCTAAAAAACTAAGAAAAAGCCTTTTGGTCAGACCATCAGATGCTCTTCTGGAATATTAACGCCTGTAGAAAAGGCATCTTTGTTCAAAGTTGAACACAAGTAACCTTTTAGGTGGAGTATGAAAGCTAATATCCATTTCCCTGCTAGTCTTTTCTGAATCTAAACCACACCATAAAGAGCACGAGTCAGCTGAAGAACACACAGGACAGAGAAACTGGCTTTTGTCACATGAATAACAAAGAACAGACGTACATATTTACTTTTAAAAACACACAGTTGACCAGAAACACATCAGGGCTGGCATAATATTACATAATACACCTGTGTCTTTCACTCTTGCACATCTCATTCCTTCTCATTGGGTTACATTTACATTCAATTAGGAACAACAAACTGGCAAGAAATACTGCTCATCGTGTAATATGAAATTTAATGAACAAATGAAGGAACCCAAAACCAGACCTTAATTCTGGCCATTCAACAAGTATATAATCATGATTTCATTCGTTTTCTGTTACAGGTGACCAAATGTAGACATGTAGGAGCTCCTTACAAGCTATTATTTCCAATGTTTTGGTATGCAGAATACAAAGCCATCTCTCATCAAGTTGGTATAGCCATAAGAAAACATTATTATGGTGCCTATCAGACACAGAAAGAATGTAACATAACCTCTTCATCAGAAAGATAAAAAATTAAATCTCATTTACCTTCATAAGTACTACTTACTTTAGCACTATCCTGAAGAGAAGAGCTGTTGTTATAATGACAAAATTTGAGAAAAGTACAGCCATTGCCTAGAAAAAGAAGGAGAGCAACATTATAGTCCAGACACCATGTTGACACCAAAAGCCCACCAATTTTGAGTGGTCCCCTTTCTGCAAGGTGTTTGGAAAGCATCACCCTGGTGCCGAGTAGCACACCCTTAAAATGAAATTCAAGTCCCACTTCAAAGTATCAAGCAAAGTGTGGAGATTAAGTTTAACTACAGCAGGAAGAGCTCTGCTGAAACAAAGATGTTAGGAAAACAATCCAGCTGGAAATGTACTTGGCCAAAAAGAAAACTGTTTATTTTTCTGGCAGATCAGTTTCCCCGTCAGGCTGACCACTACGCTGCAAAATCAGCTGTGTCAGCACAAGTGAGAAAGATGCTCTAAAAGGAAACTCTGAATAGGGGAAGGTGAGGCTGCTTCTGATGGCAGCTTGTAGCATCCAGACTTGGGCAGAAAATACACTTTTTGCACATCAAATGCATCTGCCTTATCAATTATAAAACATAAAGAGATGCTCACCTTGAATTTCATGACAGGATTATCCTGTATAAACAGTATACATATAAAAAATAGGCATCTGAACTCTTTCCTCCATTTCAACATCAGAGGGAGATTGCTTTTTAGACGATTTTGCGCAAAAACATACACGTGGATTCAGAAGTGCAAAGTGACTTTATCTTGTACTTTCTTATCTACATGTCCACATTCTCAGGTTCTGCTATTGCAGAGCCTTTCTCATTTATCAAAGGAAAAGCATATGCCCTTTTCCCATCACCTTAGGTGTTTTTTTTGGAATAGATTGGCACTACCTGCTGAATAATAAATCTCACGAAGCAGCATGACAAGGTCTCAAGTAAGCTGAAGACTGACACAAGAAACACCTGCCTAGAAATCACAGCTTAAGTTTCTGCTTTGTGAAATTACAACTCGGTTAAAAAAAAAAAATGTTAGATGAATATTATGGAAGAAGAAAAACATTGAATAAACAGATGAATCTGGAACTGACAGAAATTACTCTGGAAAAATGAGGCTTGGTGCAAAACTGATATATAAATGATATGCAAAACGTTCCACGTATATTTTTGGTCTCACAGACTAAGCCCCAACCATCTCTGGTAACGTAATATGACCAAAATCTGTAACAGAATAGTTAAAAATGAATTGATTTTGAGTTTCTTTGTTCTCTGAGGCTTCAAGAGACCTCTGCTTTAGGTAAGTACAAATAAGAAACAAATTAACCACAGATTACTATGCTACTAGCTTGCATGCTGGAAGCAAAGTTTCTAAAAATAAGTTTTACCAGTAACAGATTGAGCAGAAAACAGCATCCACAGTTACTGCTGAAGCCTCAGGAGAAAAGATCTCAACAAATCAACTCTATCTCTCAGACAACTGCTCACCCAAGTAATTACATAGCCCCAAATCTATAGTTTTAAAAGTCACTGTGAAACAAAGTTCATCCAGGCACTGGCCACCTTTTTTTAGGCATCTTGCCTCTGCCTTTTCTCTTGCAGGGTCTTGAACTCTTTCAAGGTATGCTACCTTACAGGTATTTAGTTATCTCATCTATTATTATGTCTGTATTACAATTTCAGCTGTCAGTTAAAAGACACCAAAAATTCTGGAAGAGCACACAAGCTCTGAGGGGAGAGAGACCAGTTTTGCAGTGTGTCCGTGTGCAATATACAAGCTGCGCATTTCACAAAAAGATCACCTTGACTTGAGCCAAAACAAATTGCTTAAGAAAGCATCAGTGTGGTGTAACCTTTTAAGTATCAGGTTTTGGTATTACAAATGTAATAGCTGAATTGCCTTCCCAAAGGAGAAAACATCAACTTGTATTAAAACATCCAGAATGTTAGTTTTCAGTATAGTTTTTCCAGCCAAGCCCTATTCCAGACTGTTCCGTCCTTGTCAAAAATGTACACCTAAAAGGGCATCATTTTAGAGGAGAAGGCCTGAATGAAAATGAAGAAACATTTATACAAATTTTTAATGTCAAACAAGTGTAGCCATGCTATTTATAGCAAGCACTAATCATTTGTTTTCACCTAACCGGTTTGTGAACCAAAAAGTACCCTAGCATGAAAAAAGAAAGCTCAAAAACTGTATGCTGAGAATCTGTAGATTTATCCAGAAGGCTGAATGTAGCTAGAAGAAACTAGCAATTAAACTTTGTGCTTAAACACAACCACATTTAATGCACAGCAACATAAAAATGTATGTAAATATTGAGATTCAAACAGTTTTCCTCCTTGCTCACTTCCTATTGCTCACCTGCTTTAGCAGGTTACATTTATTTGCTTTTCTTTGGAATTTGCTTTTCTTTGGAAATGGTGAGGAAAGAATGCGAGTCAACATGTGAAGTCACGTACATAAAGCAACAGAAGACAGAAAATTGAGACTCAAATACTAGCAAGATGAGCAAATACATTTAAAAAGAAATACAGAATTGAAGAAAAAGAAGTGTAAGCACCAGAAAGACCTGTCACACTCTTAGGCAGTTCAGCCTATTCTTAAATTATTTAGGATGGAGAAAATACAGAGACCTTCCTCTACTGACAGCTGTAAAACACGGATCATTGGCAGGGGAAAAAATAAATAAATAAAAAAGAAGGTCTAGCTGAAGAACTAGAGATCATTCATTTACCTGAAAATTTCGCCTTGTCAATGTTACAACTGTAAATAGCTTAAGGTTAATGTTATCAATTGGTAAGACATCAGAAGATACTTAATTCAGTACATGCATACTTACTGGCTGGAGGTAGGTCAGCACATAGAAGACAATCAAGTTGTCCAAGAAGTAAAGAAAGGCAGGAATTGACCATTTCATGGAATTACAAAAATTCTTCCAGGAAAGACATCCAGAGGGATGATCCAAACAACCCTCTGGAAGGAAAACAAATTAAGAGGAAAGACATTTTTCTTGTTTTATTTTAGTACAAGTCTATTCCAAACCCTTTTGAACAGGTACCACTGTTGTGTTCTTAAGAACACTGCTGGACTGCAAAAAGCCTCAGGTACTACAGGTCTCTGGCAACACAGAGGACACACCCAAGGCAGAACACATAGCTAGAGAGCAATCCATTGCCTATGGGCATTCACCTTCTTGTTTCACCAGAGAAACCATCCAAGAATCCTTTAACCCCCCCCATGAGAGTATTTGCCCACTGGAAGCAAAAAAGCAAGCATCAATCAGTTTGCTGAGGGCCAGAAAGCACTCCAGAAAGTCCCCACACAATAGTCACATCATTACTGGGCGATTACTAATCACATCTAGACCTGAAACAATGACTCAAACAGGGGATCGGTTCATATACCACCCAGAGGATGGCCAGTAACATCAGAAATCCAAAATAAATCAGAACTCAGTATATGTAACATACAACACACAATCTGAGTCAAAAGAGAGCAAATGGGAAGAAAGCAGAAGGGACAAGGCACAAAGAATGACATTTCCTTAGGTATTCAGGACACGTGCTTTAGGGTTGTGCCAAACCTTAGACTGGTCTAGAGTTGACAACAGAAGCACTTTGTTAGTACAGATTTAAGATTACAGAATGTTATCTAATCCTCTTCTGATTTAGTTACACACTGAGCTCAGTAAAACTCAGAAATCTGGTAGAAAACAAATAAAAAAGAAAGCAAACTTGAAAATACGCAGTAGCAAAGGACGGCAAACATTAACTGTATTCACTGTCTCAGGTATTTCTGCATTAAATGGTGGGGTACAATTTTTATTGGCTTGCCAGAGCCATGACTGTTAAACGAGTAAGTGGACAAAACTAGCACTTCAATTTAACAAGTAATAACGTGCTGACTGCACCTGACAACCTCCTCCAACTTAAACGTCTGTACTCTAAAGTATTGCAATGCTAAAAAGTTAGCTTCTCAACCTTTTTAAATCAGGACAGAAACTGTACAAGGCCCGAAAAGAAATGAGAAAAATAGCCTGCAATACAAAACTGGAAGGTAATGAAGCCTGACGCCACTTTTCCTGTACAGACAGCAGCCCCAAGATTTGTCTTTGTAACAAAGCTACTTTGAATTCTTACATTCAAATGCTGCTTCTGACTGAAATACCACCACACACATAATCCCCTCCAGTGGAAGGTGGTGGCACTTTTAAATAGATGCACTCAGAAGATTGGAAGATAAAGGCAAATCCTTTAGTTAAAGCAATTTATAAAATTCTGTTCAGTCACATCTTCACAGTGAGGTGAAGTACCCTGATGCTGTGCTAAAATTCTTTAAAAAAAAATAAAAAAATAGATTGTGTCTTCATTACGCTATCTAATTCAGCTTATCTGTCTTCATTTCAGCTATCATACCAACAACTTGAGAACACGTGAATTTATAGCACAAAGTACAGTTGTAAAAAGTGTTGTTATAATTCTGTATGGAAGGCACAATCCCAGAGAACATTACTAGCAGGACTTTTGCTACACTATTAAAGGCAAATCTTTTAGTCAAAGGAAAAAAACTGAAGTACAGCAAATCTTAGAAAATCAGTACATCTTAGTTATGTTAAACATGCGTACTTACCTTTTTTCTTAACCCATAGTGCCAGTATCAAACAGAGGAACAATTTCACTACTTCAGAACATATGTTCACCGTTGTAGGAAGGTAATCATATTTGTTATCTGTGGGATTCAGCAAATTGTAGAGAGTACACGGTCAGATTCTATCTCCTGCATTCACAATTAGAGAAGACACTATTTTAACCCCTCCAGTCAGAATTTTTGCTACTCCCCATGAACACAAAGGGCTCTTTCAGCACTTCAATTATAAATACTCCGGTTTTGATGGTATACCACTGTCTGAACTCCCCTTCCTAGGTGAAATTCTCCTTCATTTGGTCTCGGATTTACAATGAAACTTTAAGGAAGAATTCAGGAATAACGCTATCTTAAAAAATAAGGGGAATATTTTCCCCAGACAGCAAAATGCTATTTTTTCCCTCCAAGGAAAAGGCTTCCAGGATGACACAATATCTTTTAGGATTATACCTGCTAGCGCGCTTCGCTGATATACGCTGACGGGGGAAGCGTTACAGCAAGACAGTTATAACATGCACACTATTTCTTAATACCTGTTGAGAAACATTGGCCAAGACGTTCACCCCCACCCGTGCTTGCCCAATTTATTTGCTGACAGGCAGCTCCTGAGGCGTTCATTCCCTGCCGCACCTTTCCAGGGACGATCTCCACACGGATCAGACATCTTGCAGCCGCAAGGTGCTACTCTGCCTTAGATCCCGCGACATTTATGTCCAGAAACCACGGAATTTATCCCGCTTTATGTAACCTGACGTTGGCGCTAAGCTGCGGGCTCGGATTTTGGGGACGCCTCCCCCGAAATGCCCTCGCCCCTCGCTGAGGCACCTTACGCCCCCCGCCCGGCAGTACCTTCGTTGGCAGAATACTTCATCAGGAGGATCCGGCTGGAGCCCAGCGCTATGAACACCCCGCCGAGCAGGAAGGTGGCGGCGGTGCTCCTGGAGCAGGGGGCGAGGCGGCGGCAGCACCTCAGCTCCATCCCGCTGCCCTCCGGGCGAGGCGATCCTAGAACAAGCGGCTCCCTAGGAAGCCACGCAGCCAGGTGAGGCTGCTCGGTGCCATCCCGCACCAGGGGCTCACGCCGCGAGCCCTGCTGTCCCCTCGCTTTTGCATTTAGGAGAGGGACGCGCTATGAGGGGGGCCGCCATCATCGCCACCCCGCCCGCCGCCCCCTCAGCGCCCTGTCACGGGGCCCCTCCCCCGCGGCGCTGCCACCTCACCTCACCCGCCCCTCCCTCCCCTCAGGGCTCTTGCCCTTACCCCGTTACGTCACCCATGCCGGCCTCGTCCCCCGCGGCGCGCATGCGCGGGGAGGCCCGGCCACGCTTTGCCAGCCCCGCGCTTCGCGTCATGGGCGCGACCAGGGGGATGGAGGGAGGGGAGAGAAAATGGCGGCAGGGTCACGTGACGGGAGGGAGGGCGGGTGGTGGGAGGTGGAGGAGGGGGGCGGCTGCCGCGGCCATCGCTCGGCTCGGCTCGGGGCGGCCGGCGGCATGCAGAGCGTCATCAACACGGTGAAGGGGAAGGCCCTGGAGGTGGCCGAGTACCTCACCCCCGTGCTCAAGGTGCTGTAGGGGGCGGGAGGGCACTGGAGAGGGTGATGGGGCGGTGCTAAGCTGTGTCCCCCCCCTCCCCGGTGGGAGCCCGGGCTGGGGAGGGGGCTGCGGGGGGCGAGAAGGGCAGCGAGGTCCTGGAGGGTGTCCAGGGAAGGGCTACAAGGCTGGTGCGGGGCCTGGAGCACAAGTGCTGTGAGGAGCGGCTGAGGGAGCTGGGGGGGTTTGGGCTGAGGAAGAGGAGGCTCAGGGGACACCTCATTGCTCTCTGCAACTGCCTGAAAGGAAGCTGTGGGGAGCTGGGGGTCAGCCTCTTCTCACAGGTAACCAGTGACAGGACTGGAGGGAATGGCCTCAAGTTGTGCCAGGGGAGGTTTAGGTTGGCAATGAGGAGACATTTCTGCTCAGAAAGAGCAGTCAGGCACTGGGACGGGTCACCCAGGGAGGTGGTGGAGTCACCGCCCCTGGGGGTGCTCAAGGAGATGTCCCTGGTGTTCAGGAGCCTTGTTTGTTGTTTGGCATTGGTAGGAGAGTGATGGTTGGACCAGATGATCCTGGAGGTCTTTTCCAACCTTAATTGTTCAATAAATCTCCAGTTTAATATTTCTACTGTTAATTATTCACAGCATCAATCTCTCTGCCTGTAGTTTTGTAGCATGACCTTCTATACGCCTTACACCTTGACGCTTAGATCTCTGGGTTGAAGGCAGCGATACGCAGCTATTAATTGAGCTTGTCCCTTGGAGATATCCTCCCTGGGTAGTGCATCTTCCTAGGCTCGACCACCAATGCGTGCTGCAGTGAAGCTGTGGTGTGGAAACATGAAGTGATGTGTTCACCACGTACGCTTGTTGTGGAGCAGCTGGCGCTTTATTCTGCTGTGAGCAGAAGAGGAATCTGTGTGACCAGATGTACAGCTAGCGGCCGGGAAGCAAGGTGGACCCTCCCACATGGGGGAGGTGATAATATTAATGTGTATGTGTTCCCTTTACAAGGGACCTGAAATAAGTGCTCCCATTCCTTACCTTCGGAAAGAAACTAGAGTTGTGTCTCGCACTAGCTTGCATACCACAGGATGCTTTGAGATGAAAAAGATGAGATTATTTACCCTCGGGGAACAGAGTGTGGGTATTTTACATGTTTCCTTCTGTAATTCCAGAAGCACAACTTTGTGCGTGTTGCATAATGCATGTGGTTAATGTTGAAGTTTTAAATAGTAAGCTGACTCTAGTGTGATATTGCATAACGTGTTATCAGGAGTTCTTGGGTTTATGGTAATTAAACTGCTAAACTATAGCTGTTTGGGTTTCTTTAGTTTTTTGTGAACTGCATAGAGTAATACTATAATATCTGCCCAGCAGCCAGTTTGCTTTTCCTAACATTATGGGAGAGGGAGGTGTCAGATGTGTTCATGAGCTAGGTGTGCTCGTTTCCATTTATTTAACACAGGTGGTAGTGTGCACCAGGGTTAAGTGTCAAGAATAGTTAAGTTAAGCAGTGGCTGGTTTTCTTTAATGCTTTCCTAGCAATTGAGTAGGCTGAAGTTGTAGCCAAATACTAGGTTTCTTAACTAAAAGCCTTCATATCAATGCATTGCACTGCTGTTTGGTGCTAAGAAACAGTCACAAAGCCCTGACTGAGAGGATCATTAAATTCTATCTGGTTTTCCATCTCTTACTGGTGAAGGTAACACAAGGTGTAAGGAGTTGTTGATATAATTGGCAGCATCAAAAAATACTTTGTATACATAATCTTTTCACAATTTCCCCAGATCCTGCATCTAAGTAATTATATCAGGCCTTACTTATACATCTTGCTTCCATGTTTTATCAGCCCAGGCAAAGGCTACCTCCAAGTTGCTTCAGAGATCTGTGTGGACTGAGCTGGTTGCAAGATGAAAGTCTCACAGATGTTTTTATTTACCAGTAAAGTGGGTATGTTGATTTGCCAGCAGAACTCACAACTTCTAACTTTTTTTTTTAATTGCAGGAGTCCAAATTTAAAGAAACTGGAGTAATTACACCTGAAGAGGTAAGTATTTAGAACCTTTGAAATATCAGTACTTCCATATTTTCTAAATACAACTTTTACTCCAAATGATCATGCACATCTCAAACTGTTTACACCTTTGTCAGTTCCTTCTTGAAACAATTTCCATGCTGTGGAAGTTCTAAATGGCCTTGTTACTCTACAGGTGAAGTAGACCAACAGCAGAATTCTTCTTGAAATGCAACGTGGCATCTGAATGTGAATTATCTTTTCCTGTACTACATCCTAAAACACTAATAAGGAAGCTCATGCTGGGTCAACAACTCTGTATATATCATGGAAGTAAACAGGAATATGTTTGTTTCAAAGGCCTTTTCCATAAGCAATTCAAAGGAGAACTTGTACTGCTGTGTCTTGGAAACAGTCTTCTTTCTTCTCTTTTGGTTCCTTCCAGGGCTGTGGCTAAATCATTATATATGCTTGTTCACAGCAAGCAACTCTCTCCCAACCCCAAGAGGCTGCTTCAGAGTGATTGTGTTTTGGATTAATGCCAAGCAGTTGTAGTTTTTAAAGGAGTCTGCTATGAAGAAAAAACAACAAGAATTTTTCTAGAATATTAGCACTGATTTTGCAGTGCTATTTAGGCTTCCCTGTTCTGCTGTTTCTCATGTTAAAATGCTACTGTTCTGAAAATACGTTGTCTTTAAAAAGGTGTAAGAATAGTGTTCAGACTGTTAGGTAGAATGAAGGAAAAGTGAGACTGTACAAACGTGAAGATGGGAGAGAACAAAGTTACAACTGGTACAGGTAGTGCATGTGGGCAAAAGTGTCTTTCCTAATGCTGGTAGCAAGCATTTTTCTGCTCTGTTGCAAGGCATGCAAGCACTTGTGGTTTCTGTGACCCACGGGAGTACTACTCAGAAAAACAGGCTTAGCAACATGGTGTTCTGATAGTTGTGTGCATAGGTGTCTGTATTTTACATACTAATGTATTATAGATTAAAAATAACTGTTTATGGAGAAAGTAGATACATATCACGGAGGAATTAAACAGTAGATGTAGGAGAGAACTTTGCAGTAGGACTGAAAGATCAGATAACTTCTATAGAACATAGGAAGAACCATGCTGAGTTAAACTGCTTGCAGCATTTAAACACCAGTAAATGAATGCAAATAGTCTGTGTTATAAACATAGATGCTGATAAGATGAATAGAATGTATCCTTCAAAGCCATATTGAAGGGAAATGGTTATACAGTAAGACTAATAGTCCTGTTAAATTTAGATAGGACCGGAGCATGGATATGCTGAGTGTCCCTTTGACAGTCTTTCCTATTCCTTGATGATTTTGATCTTAATATAGTAGTGATTGCTAAAGAACTGATACCAACTGCGATGATGGTAGGATGTTATCTTTGAATGAGTTTGGATTTCATGAGTAATGAATCTCAGTTTAACCTGCTCTGCCTGTATGTTAGTCGGAGACACCATTGTGATAAACTTTAGTATGGTTGTTGTGGCTTGTCTCTGAAGATGAGCCTGTTAGTGATAAGGCTGATGATGACTAATCAAATTCAGCATCTGTATTTTTTCCATTTATCAGTGCAATTGATTTAATTTTAACAAATTCTTGCCTGTCATGAGTTCTTACTAGCTAATGCTTCAGAAAGGTGGCCATTTTCATTTCATATGTAAGTACAGGCAAATCTCAAATTGTTTTCTTGCCACTTCTGCTATACCAATTCAGGTACGATAATATTAGTGCTTTAGAAATAGAAAGTGAAACCAACTAGGTTAATTACGCTGTTTAGGAGAAGAAATTTAGTGTTGTTTTTATTTATTTTTTTTTTGCATTCATAGACTTCCAAAGAATGCTTTGAATTTTTCATCTTAAATAATGTCCTTCAACATTGGAACTACAAACACTGTTCCAATTCTCTGAACAGAGCATTTTAAGTGGTTCTAAAGTTTCATGTGTTATTTATTATTAGGTAAAGCCTAATAGCATGTTTTTTAATTTCCATGTGTGTTGGAAGGGATTACTGTTCTCTTTAAAATGAGTATTTCACTAGAGATTTTTCTTGGAAAATGGTTGAAAGAAATCACTTTTGCAGAGATTAAATCTGCTAATCTGCATGCAATACACATTGTGGTATTTTCTACTACACTGATGTGCCTTGCATTGGAAGGCATGATGAGAATATGACTGGCACTTACGCTCCAAGCCCGTTATGTCACTCCATAACAGCTTGTAGTCAGCCTGGTAGTACATTATTATAACCTGGTGTTTTAAGACAAAGCAATTGCAGCAATAGGCATACACCTTCTTTTCAAAAGGCACTAATGCATAGAGCACACAAACTGCTATTCTTAAATGCAGGTTTGCCTTCTACAATTTGTGTAGGAAAAACTAAGTCTAGTGGGTTATAATTTGCTGTGTGGATTTTGACTTGGTTATACAAGTCTAGCACAGCATATCCAATATTGCTTTGAAAAGGTGATGTGATTTTAAAAAAACTGTTATGTCTGATAATAAGAACAAGTGGAGTGAAGATTTTTAAAAGCTATTTCTTCAGAATAAAATTCTGCACAAATTTTTTCAATGTTCTAAGTACTTGGTTATCCATATCTAGTAAATGTCAGTTGGTGATACATGGTGATGGTCATTATCAAAAGCATACTATTTATTCTT